TTTAACTACGTCCCCTAAACATAATAGAATTCCAAGAGAATACTAATTGCATTTCAGGTAATTACAATAGCAGCGCTGTGCTGAAGACAAGTAGCTTGATTATGTGGTTTCCATTCTATCACAAAAGACAACAAATGAGCTGATAACCATAAACGGCAGCAAAAGAGCGTATGAGGCTTTAAAGGAGCGTTGTTCCTAAACTCTTTTCCAAAACCTAGTGAGCCACCCTATTGTCTGCTGCCTACATAGGGTGCTGCCTTCTTAGGCAGTATCCTAACCATGGACCCTCATAAGCAACTCAAATTGGAAATACTTAGAGGAATATATACAATCGTTCAAAAGTTTGGGGTAATTTAGATGTTTTTTAAAAGAAGTCTCTAATGCTCACTTATGCTGCATTTATTTGAACAAAAATACAGTAATATTGTGAAATATTATTACACTTAAAAATAACGGTTTTCTATTTTAATATATGTTAAATGTACTGTTATTTATTCCTGTGATCAAAGCTGACTTTTCAGCATCATTACTCCCAGTCTTCATATGATCCTTCAGAAATCATTCTAAATGCTGATTTGCTGCTCAAGAAATGTTAAAAATATTGAAAACAGTTGTGCTCCTTAATATATTTGTGAAAACGTTTTATTTTTCAGGATACGTTGACAAATGGAAAGTTCACAAGAACACCATTCATTTCAAATATAAAACTTTTGTAAAATTATAATGTCTCTTTTGATCAATTTAATGCATCCTTGCTGAATAGAAGTATTAATTCGTTTAAAAAAAAAAATAATCGCACTGATCCAAAAATGGTAGTGTATATAAGAAGACTCGACTCACTGTTGCCCTTGTCATTAGCATGTTGTTAAGCTAATAGCATTATACTTTGTTTTAAAAATAAACAGCATGTACAAATAGTAGGTAGAATGGTACATTTTTAATTAGATTGAAGGATTTTTTCTAAATAATTTTGGTAATGAATGAATTTATCTCACTTCGCCCACAATCTTGGATGGATTTAGCGCTGTTTGCAGTGCATTATGGGATTGGCTTCTACACAAATGATACATGCAATGTTGTCTGTAGGATTTAAACAAAAGAAGTCAGCATAACTATGCAGTGTTTGTGTTGCTGTACCACTATGTTTTGGCTCAGACTGAGCCTTGGTGACAAGAAATGGCTTGTAGCCATTTTTATGCAATGTCCGTCTCACTGTAAATACAATTGTTTATACTGACGTAGCTGATCGGATAGCATGGTCTTTCTGGCGAAACTTGAAGCTAGAAACTTGACCATCATCCACTAGTCTTTTCAACAGGGCAGGTTGTGTGCTTAAATCCAGCTTAGGTTATAAATGAAAAGATGTTGCGATTGTACAGTTGTGCACTGTGAGTTTATAATGTCACATAGACAGTTTCATAATGTCTGTGTGGCTGAAGGTTGTGATGTCTACTGAGAAATTCGCAAAATGCGCATTTCTCAAACCGCACTAATGGAAAGTGTGAGCAGCGGAGTGTGTGAGCTGATCTCTGTGGTCATTTCTATCACAACTCCTCTCCTCTGGAGCCTGACTGCCTTTAATTGTGATTTCTCTTCAGGCATTATCACCATAGTTAACTGCAGAGGCGCTGTCTGTCTGTGCCGACAAGCCTGAGTTAGCAGTCATGAGACGCCGCTGAACGAGAAGGCTTTCGGCTGACAGTAGTTTGATGGATTCGTTGTTTCGTTGTTTGCTTGATAATGAGACTCTCTGCTCTCAAAGTCCTTCAAAATAGACTAATAGGTCCACATGAACCCATCTCAGCCCATATATGAGCACAAAAATTATCTCTTTTTGCATGCTTTTAGAGAGATGGAGTTTGCACAGAGGGAGGATGCAGAGAAGAAGAGGCTGGAGGAGGCGGAAAAGGCTCATTTGGCTGAAATCCAGAGTCTTCAAGTGAGGGTAATTATCTGCACACACACACACACACACACACACACACACACACACACACACACACACACACACACACACTCACACATGTTAGTGCACTTCACTGCATTTCATGGCAACTGTCTCAGACTGAAGTCATCCAAAGTCCCTTTTCATTAGTCAGATTGTGAGCCCATATGGAAAAGATATATTGCAGTATTTATTGTAATGCTGGAAATTAGTACGAAACGAGCGTAGGAGCAATATGAAAACATTACAAACCTTTATAACAGTTTATCTTATGAATATTAATTAGGCGATGTTAAGCCCAGCAGTCATAAGTGATCTGCTGAAAGTGAAAGTGGGTGTGTCAATAAACGCCGCTATTTGCATGCACAATTAACTCTTTCCCTGCCATTGACTGAATTTTCCGGCTTTCAATGTTTTTACTGTTATTCGGTAGGGGACGCTATTATGCAACTTCTGAATGAGTACTGAATCTCCGGATCAAAGCATAGGCAAAACATGAGCAGAAACAAGTGATACAAGCATTGCTTATGCACGTTTTTTTCTTTGAGGGAAAAAAAAGCTATTTTCTCCGTTTTTTATGAAACTTACCCACGTTCAAGTGTTGATCAAATATAAATGCATGAAGCTAGAATCAAATGTTTTTTTTTGTTTAAAAGCAGAGGCTCTGTTCTTTCTTTTGATATATTGCATGTTCAGATATTCATACAGCAAAATATTCCGGGGGCCATGAAATTTTTGCGAAAATTAATAACATTTTAAAACGCTGGTGGGGAAAGAGATTATTTGTAGTGATGTCCACTGTATGACAATATGTTTGGACTATAAGTGTCAGAAATTTTCAAAATTACTTAAAATATCGAAGTACATACTTTAATCATAATTAGATATGATTCATACCTGTAATATCCATTATCCATTAATATTCAATATCCATTAAATTTTTTTTTTTTTTCTATTATGGGGGTATTATATATTTCTGTTTAAAATATATATATATATTTTTTTTAAAGAAATTAATACATTTATTAATTAAATTCATTATGTATTAAATGGATCAAAAGTGACAGAAAATGGTATAATGTTACAAAATATTTCTATTTCAAATAAATTAAGTTTTTTAACCTCCTATTCATCACAGAATCTTGAAAAAAACAACAATAATACCAACCAGTACAAATGTTTTCAAGAGTAATAAGAAATGTTGTAAAACTGCAATTAAAGTAGAAACCAGTCATTTTAAATTGTAATACTATTTCACAATATAACTGTACTTTCATCAAATAAATGCAGCCTTGGTGAGCAGAAGAGTCTTCCATATATTCCATATCTATTGTGTATAAAAACTATTGCATGTGTGTTTTTGTATAGATTGTTACCCTGGAGTCAGAGCTGATGCAGCTGATGAAGCAAAATGGCATCCAGGTAAACAATAACAACAACAGTGCTGAGAGTCGAGCTCAGCTGACTGAGAGACTGACAGCCTTACAGTGTCCAAGGACAAGTGTCACTGGAGCGGGTGAGTCACAGACACACACATACACACACATTATTACCTAAATGATGTTTGACAAGTGTCCTCAAACCAGACTTCATTTAAACACACTCGCATAGCAGGACACACATTAGCAGGTCATTTATTTGCACTAAAACTATTAATAGCCTATATAGTGCCATGCAGGTAACAGATGGACCTCGTCATAATGTGAGAGGAAACAATTCATACACAGGACAGATTTCCTTATCAGTCTCAATTAAAGCTGTTCTTATCAGAAAGGTGGGAGGAAATGAGAAGGGTTTCAGCTACTACAGAGTGGAAATATGTCATTGTGCGAAATTCATCCAGTTGCCATGTTTCCATGGCTTTTCGTTAACACCACTGTGTTAATGATGATATGATTGATATAGTGCATCTTGCTTTGATTTTAGTTCTTATTTTCCCTCAAATAAACAGAAAAAAAAAAGGAAAAAAAAGAATACTTGACATAAAATAAATATTTTTGGGAGGTTGACATGTCCGCTGTTGTAACATAAACTCCATCTAAAATCATCATTGTTCTAATTCTTTATAATTATTATGCAATATTTTTTTCCATTTATATTTATATAGATTTTTTTTCCATTCCAATATTTATCATTATGCATGATGACGATAATAGTTATTATTACTTTATCATTTTTAAATAACAGAATTTTATTTATTTATTTTTATTTTAGTATTGTACGCTCTTAAAAATAAAGGTTCCAAAAGGGGGGTTTGCAGTGATGCCATAGAAAAAATACATTTTTGGTTCCCCAAAGAACCTTTCAGTGAACAGCTCTAAAAAGAAAAAAATATTTTAATAATCTGAAGAACCTTTTTCAACTATAACACAATATAACAAGGGCAGGAAACAAGGAACAGGTGTGAACAATGAATCACTATGGAAACTAATGAGTGTAACCATTGCAACGGAAACAAAAGGCAAACAGCAACTAAACACAGGAAGTAAAACACTAGAACAATAGGAACAGGAATACACTTCAAATTAAGAGTCCTTTAAAATCAAGAGAGGGCAACATGAAACCGGATTCTTAACGCCATAGAATCATCGATTCCAATAAAGAATCTAATTAAGCATGACAGTAGTAATAATAATCATTACGATAAATATTTGAAGAATAATTCAATAATAATGAATGTAAAAATTCGTTACTGTATTTTCCAATACATTGATAGCTGAACGAACAATATTCATGGACACACTGTCCCTCATAGTCTCATATGTGTCAAAATAAACACGGCGACCACTCTCTGCCTGTTATCTAACAGTATCTCGCTTTGCTCTGTGGCCCCCGCACTCTCTTTTTCACTTTGAACTCTGACCTTGCATCTGCACACAACTGAGCTTTGTTAATGAAGTTAAAGCAGCACTGTTCATCTCAGGCGCTTGATGCTTCACACCTCACACACTCAGTTGTAATGGGTGCACTGGCCCTTCAAATCTGCCTATTCTGAGTCCACTATGATCACTGGGATAAGAGCGGACAGCGCTGGAAAGCTGATTGGATGCATTGTGACTGAATGAGGCAGATTATGAGGAAGTGCTGCCGCAGGGACGCTTCAGTTTCCTACAAGGAAACCTCTCAGCCCCGTTTCCAACAAGAGCCCATTTCATTTCAAATATCCGTAAACAGCATATGGCACTACAGGACAATCCAACATATAAACAAACTAGCCAGTAGTCTGTTGCAGGATTATGTTTTTCCATCAGCCAAAGTACTCGGTATTTGATTGTGGCATTCAAGTCCTTTTTTGCTTAAAGCTTCTTCAGTTCTTCTTCAGTTCCAAGAGAAAGTTAAATAATAATAATAATAAAAAAAAATATATATAAAAAAAAATATATATATATATATATATATATATATATGAAGATCGATTATAAAATTGAATCAGACAAAACACAATCTGCTTGAACAAACAACACACAAATAATGATATGATTTCATGTACACTACCATTCAAAAGTTTAGGGTCATTAAATTTTTTTCAAGTTTTTGAAAGAAGTCACTTATACTTACCAAGCTGTAATTAATTGATCAAAATACAGCAAAACAGCAATATTGTGAAACAATAATTACAAACTGTATTTTAATATATTTTAAAATGTAATTTTTTTCCTGTGATGTCAAAGCTGAATTTTCAGCATCATTACTCCAGTCTTCAGTGTCACATGATCCTTCATTCTAATATTCTGATTTGCTACCCAAGTAACATTTCTTATTATTATTATTATTATCAATGTTGAAAAAAGTTGTGCTGCTTAATATTTTTAGTAGTCAATTCAAATGAACAGCATTGATTTAATATTGAAATCTTATGTAACATTATAAACGTCTCTTTTGATCAATTTAATGCATCCTTTATGAATAAAAGTATTCATTTCTTTAAAAAATATTTTTAAATCTTATTGACCCCAAACCTTTGAACGGTAGTGTACATTCAATGACCAACTCATGCAAAAGTTCATGGTAAATGCAAGGGTTCACTTACTTTTTCCTGTAACCAGAACAAAGAAATGTTCTGTTTTGCTACTTTGTTGCCGTTTTGTTTATTATATTTTATTATGTAATTGTATGGATCTGTTTTGTGTGGTAGAACTGGACGAGCTGACAGGAGCCAGTGGAACTCACACTGAGAGAGACGAGAGGGTGAGACTCGCTTTCACACACACACACACACCAAACACCTCTCATTCAGGCATTTAAGCCAGATGCACTGATAAAGAGTGAAAGTCAATTCTAAGCTCATATTTAACAATTCATGAGTTGTGTTCAATTTAAACCATTCATGAGTATATGCAGAACGATTCTGGAGTACTCTAATAAACTGCATTTGGATCTCAACCTTCTTGTCTCGGAGCAGTTCGTAACATTATCATTGAATGCATTTCTGTTGGATTGTTGGCCACGGTTGCTATTTTCTCTATTTATGGTCAAAAGTCAAAAGTAATTGAATTGGTTTTCTTTTCCGACAGTAGTTCTTATGTGGGATAGGATCACAAAATAGGGGGGAAGCTAAAACATGTTATTTGTACACATTGGGTCTCATTCATGAAACACGAGCAGAACGAATTTTTGTGTAAAGTGGTTCTGGTGTAAATTTTCGGATTCATTAAAATGTTCGTATTTTCCAAATGTTAGTTGGTACACAAGAAACCCACACCTGCTCCCAGCCACGCGTAAATAGTGCGCTTAACACCCGAACGTTTTGCTCATTAATAAGGCTGCATTTTAATTCACCTTAATCGGGTACATATTTGCACAGCATTTTGAAAAAATATTATATATAGTAATTACATACGTTTTTTCTTATTATGAGAGCCAGTAATAGCATCTGCGATGGTAGCCCTTCTCCAGTTTGAATACTATTTTTCCGAAGTGAACTAATTCGTTTTTTGCTCTCAAGCTTAATGTCGAACCATTTTCTTCTCACTTCTGGGAATGTTCGATTAACAGATGAAACTCCAGTAACTGCATCTGTAATGCTGCCAAGCTTCCTTTTTTTTTAGGACCCGATACGCCACTATGTAGGCCTACGCTTAAAAATAAAATGTGGCGTTTTGAATGAACTTCTGATAATAAAACTTCAATTTCTGCATCTGAGAATTTTTTTTTTCATTCGCATTCATGTCATAATATGATGCCCATATATAGTTGTCAGTCAGATTTAATGGGCGGGATTTATGGTAATTGAGAATGAACGTGCACGCGCGTCCCATTTACGACTGATTGGAATTCATTAACACACACACACATTTCACTATCACATCTGACGTTTACGAAGTATTTGTGAATCAGGAGAAGAGTTTTCGGGAAGGTCTCTTTACGCGCAAATCACTCGCATATTTACTTGTATATTTACGAATGTTTCATGAATGAGACCCATTTTCATTCTTGTATGGTGATATCAAATTACAAATTATTGTTGCTGAAGGGTTTTCCAGGTTACCTGAGAAAACATTGGTTACATGGTATTCTCTCCCGGATTCAAAAGTCACACTGTGTGTAGCTGTTGTAGGTGTCTGTAATAACCATTAAACGCCTCTGCAGAGAAACAGAAGGAAGTGCTGTTGGGTCAGAAAAACAGTCAGGAAACAGCTTATTGTTGCAAAGAGCTTTCTTTCTTGTATGTTAACCCCCCTCTCTCTCTCTCTCTCTCTCTGGTTTCTGTCTGTAGGGCTCTGGGTCTCAATCCTCCAGAGTGTCTGGTGCCACAGAGGCTGATAATGAGGGTAAACGCACCAAACCATTAATACCTGATTAGGGCTCAATTACAGGCCTAATGAATTATGCTTAAGGCCTGAGAGACACAATAAAGAAAGTCCCAAATGATATGATACTATAACAAGAGGAACAGCTGAAGTAATGAATATTGCATCTGTACAGTAAATGTTGTGTCTCGTTGAATGCTGACTTTCTCTCAATGCATGATTTTTCCTCAGGCTCTTCACCCAGTCAAGATGAGAAACCTGGCAAAAAAATACTAGACTTGGGGTACGTTGGTGCTAATTGTTCATTTGTAAATGTGAATGAATATACAGTACAGCTTTATGTAATTGCCAGAATGAATGCAAGGCTGCTTTTATTTTGGTCAAAAATTCAGTAAAACAGTAATGCTATGAAATATTATTACTGTTATAATAGATATTATTACTGTCAATAAAACTGTTTTCTGTTTTAATATATTTTAAAATGCAATTTATTCCTGTGATGTAAAGCTGAATTTACTTCAGTCTTCAGTGTCACATGATCATTCAGAAATGATTCTAATATTCTGATTTGATGCTCAAGAAACATTACTATCATCAATGTTGTGCTGCTGAAAGTTAAATAAAAATAGATCAAAAAAAAAAAATTATAACATCATAAATGTCTGTAACTTTTGATCAATTTAATGCATCCTTGCTGAAAAAAAGTATTCATTTCTTTAATATTTTATATATTTCTATATATTTGGAAAATGTATCAAGCTTCTGGTAATATTTTCAGATCTTCTCTGAGGAAACGCAACGGGAAAGAGCAGAATCTAAAAGGATCTCCTGGTAAAAGGTAAATAGAGCCTCACATACCTAATATAAGTGACAACATGCAGCCTACCTGATTATGATCTTTTTCATAGCAGTGTCAGAATAAATGCATTGTAGTTTTAGTCTAATAAATGTGAAGTACGTTCGTGTGCCTTAAAACTGAGGTCTTCTGGACTGCAAGATGAAAAAAAAGAAAAGGAAAAAGAGCTTCCACACTCCATCCAAGGTTTTTTTTTTTTTTTTTTTTTTTTTTTTTACAAAATCTATATTAAGAGGTCAAAATGTGCCCAAGTGTGACTGATGAAAACGGGACTGAAAACCTTTGTCACCTCTTTCACTGAGCACTTTTTATGCACCTTTTGGCTTTTCCACTTGGATTTAATGTGCAAGCTATTTTTTTTCTCCTTTTTTAATTTTTCCTGAGCATACACACCTAATTCATATGGACTGGGTTGGACATCTCAGCTGTGCCCGACTGCAGAACGTACACACACATTTCGCATTTGAATGAATCTTCACTGATTCAAAGAATTGCTTAATCAATGATTAAGAATTGCTCAGCAGAAGCACGGCTAAATTAAGGTTTCTTATTTCCTCTGAGAATATATACAGAAGGGTCTTATCCCAGTGTTACAGCTTCAATAACCAGTAACTTATCTTTAGCTCCATAGGGCCTTCAGCAGAGAACAGTCCTGAAAGATGCAAGAGCAAGGTGAGAGAAAAGTCACACAGACACTCACACACACATACTGTATATATATATATATGTAGTGTATTTGTTTTTATTGTTAGCTGGTTTAAAAGAAACTGCAATCCGTTGTTTCAAATATGAATGTCTACTGCTTGTTTAGTGACATAATCTCCCTCTGGTTTGTTACATTTCCATTGAACAGAAATCTCTTTCCTGGCCACGCTTCTTCTCCTATTCATATTACGTGGTACTGTATCACGGCTTGTTTGTTCAGATCCAAGTTTAATCAGATAAAAAAAAAATGTTTTGCTTTTAGCTGTAGACATACATAGTTGCACATTACTGTTTTATTTGCTTAATTATTTTAGAGATTCACACATTTAAAATGGACTGTTTTGGACCTGAAATTGGGGAATTTAATTCAGCTGCATGCATTCTGACTCATGTTTTTCTTTTAATGTTTTCTTCTCACAAAAAGTGACCTTGCTCAGACTGTGATCTTGGGATAAATGAAATCTTGCCATTAATGCTTTGTGCAAATGTCTGAAGGACAGAAGAATGAATCACCTCTGTGCCGAATAGTGAATATTTCGTAGTATTTTCATAATCAGGGTTCGGGATGTTAGAGACGTTCATTTAATGAACGCATTCAATGCCCTTTTTCAAAGTCTTGATTTTGTTTTTGGGGTCTACTAGAATAGGTTTTCACGCTTGAATGTTCAAAAACACATTGTTTTCACATTGTTGCAGCTCCTCTCTTCCCAGTCTGTCAGTAACGCTCTGTTTAGTTCCTGTCTCTATGAAGCCCCTCCTTCTGAAAAGCTTAATGTGCTCTGATCAGCTGGATCAGTGTGTTGTGATTGGTCAACTGCTTAGAACGTGTTTTGGAAATGTCCCGCCCCTTACCATAACCGCAAGTCAACCAGGCCCGTCTCTTTATTCTGCGTATGCCTTGGGCGGGAATTATTTAAATGAGGAATATTGTGATGTGTTCGTTCCCGGAAGAAAACTCAAGACTAATCAAGGCGTTTCAGGGAGTTCAGAAACAGTGACACTGATATAGAGAACAACTCCCTTTGGATCGACTTTGTGCTTTGTAACATTGTAGACCTTTTTCATGCTCAAACAGCAACATTACACACTAAAGAAAGTTGGAAATGTAAAAGAAGCGTAATAGGAAAAAATGCAAATCACTTACTCAGTTACAAATGATCACGATCATCATTTGAGTGACTGTATCAATGTACTCAAAGCATTTTGTTGGGTTGTTACAATAATTTGAAGAGACTTAATTGGTTTAACTGTCAATCAACATTAATTACACTGATGATCCTTTGTCACAATCAATAAAACAATCAGAACAAAGGCAAAATAATTGCAAAATTACCTCTCGAGTAATTGAGAAACAATTCATGCCAATCAACGTGGTAAAAGGGTAAACGTGTCAATCAGATAGCGGTGTTGTCTTACAGGTGTATCTCTGTGTATGTCTCTGTTCAGGGTCCCGGTGTCTCTGATGACCTCAGCCTCAGCAGCACGAGCTCCACAGAGATCAGTGGTGTCCTGACCGATGTTAAGGTGTCTGGCCGATCGCAAACACTCACGCTCTCCTCAGATGAGGTGATGTTTGTACATTTAACCTGATGTCTCTGTTTAAAGGGATACAACAATGAAAAATCGGTCGCTCCAAACCTCAATGGTGTGTTCACACTTTTAGTTTGGTTCCCTTGGTTATTTTGCTCCGAAAATGATATATTTAGTCCTGGTTTGCTTAGCGTTCACACTGGCATTTTTAACACCGAACCTAAAGAAAGAAAAAAACTCTTTTTACGACATATATTTTGCGTCTAAAACAATGCTGTGAGCTGGAATGAATGCCCTCATTGTATGTGTGTGTACATATGATATGGCAAGCCGTTTGAACTTTTATTCATTTTTCAGGATATGAATTGTTGATATCAACAATTGAATTATTGATATCAAAAATGTAATTCTTGATATCAACAATTGTATTTTCACTAGTGAAATGTCACCATAGACTGCCATTCAAAATCAATTGTTGATATCAAGAATTGATTTCTTACTAGTAGAAATATAATTTTTGATATCAATAATTACATTGTTACTAGTAAAAATGTGAATTCCTGATATCAATAATTAAATTGTCACTAGTCTAAATTTCTATTTTTGATATCAACAACTGAATTGCTACTGGTAAAAAATTTCATTTTTGATATCTGAAAATGTATTTCTGATATCAATATTATTTCAGATATCTAAAATGGCTTTCTTACTAGTAACAATCACATTCATGATATCAGAAATTAACATTGTCACTAGTGAAAATTGAATTATTGATATCAAAAATGAACATTGTAACTAGTAGCAATCCAATTGTTGATATCAAGAATAGACATTTCAACTAGTGACAATTTAATTCTTGATATCAAAAATAAAGGTTTTTACTAGTAAGAATTGTATTTCTGATATGTGAAATTGAAATTTCAACTAGTAAGAAATAAATTCTTGATATCAAGAATTGATTTTGAATGGCAGCCTATGGTGACATTTCACTAGTGAAAATACAATTACAGATATCAAGAATTATAGTTTTTACTAGTTGCAATTCAATTTTTGATATCAAGAATTATCATTTTAACTAGTGAAAATGTAAATGTTGATGTCAAGAATTAGCATTGTTACTAGTGAAAATGTAATTCCTGATATCAAAAAATGCCATTGTTACTAGTAGAAATATTATTCCTGATATCAATAATTATAATTTTAACTTGATATCAGGAATGTTTGTTTTTATCAAACCAAACCTGACAAGTGTGAACACACCCTAAAGAATCACTTGCATGCTAAAATGTTCTGCCTGCAAAGTGTATACTATATATGATCAGCAAAGGCTGAGTGTTTCTCTTGTTATTTATGCTGCGTTTATTAGAGTGTGGATATGATTGAAGATGAGGTGAGTTTGAGTCCCAGCATGGCTCTTCTTCCCACTTAAAACACTTATATTTAGTCTAGTTCTGGCATTCATTGCAGGTCATTTGTGACCCAAACAATAATTTTCTTTATTAATGATTTTTTCTTAGATTTCCTCAAAGTGTATTAACTGTGCTTTCTAGAAAAGTATGTAAAATTCATGGAAGCCAATTCCCATAAATGACTTTGTTCAGCCAGTGCCATAAGTTTGTGTGTGTGTGTGTGTGTGTGTGTGTGTGTCAGATTCTAGATGACGGTCCGCCTCCGAAGCCGTATCAGTGGCAGAACCGTAGTGTGACTGAATGGACATGTCAACAGGTGTCATGTTGGCTCATGGGTCTGAACCTGGAACAATATGTCTCTCTTTTTACTGCCAAGAATGTGGATGGAGAGCAGTTACTGAAGCTGGACAGCACAGCACTCAAGGTGAGGAATGAATTTTTTGGGATAATTTAGTCTCATAGTTTTCAGCCACGTGAACTGGAGGGCAAAACATCCATAGAACTGAAGCACGGGTCTGTCAATTATCAAGCCATGCATATTTAGATCACTTCTCAAAAGAAGAAAAACAAAATGTTTTAGATCCATATACAGTATTTAAATCACTAAAAACAACTCTTAAAGTGCCTTAATGTACTAAAACAGTGATGTTAAAAGATGACATTCAGCATACACCTTATTGATGATGCATACTATACACCGGCAAGCAGATGAGCCAAGAATATGAACACAATGCGCTATATGGTTAAGGGTTATGAGGCAAGAGATGCATTTATAATGCTTTACGAGTAACAGCAGATTGCATTTATTTAATCTGCTTGCCTGAATAATATAGTATGCATCATCTATAAGGTTGAAATTGAAATTGGTCTTTTAAGATCACTGTCTTACTACATTATTACTTAATAGAAACCTGGTAAAAATGACTGGCGGGCAGTGGAGGAAAGCCTAGTTTTGCCCTCCAGGCATTCCTATTAGGGTGTGATGTCACGTAAAAACTTCGATGACTATAAAATGGCAAATATAAATAATCTTGATCACACTACATGCTGATGGTAAATTTTAAACTTATTCTGGCATGATATTTTCCCCTACAATTCAACAGCATTTTATTTATGTATGCACATTTAGAGTTATATAAAATGTTTGTATATTAAACAAATAAATTAAATAGATATTTAGATTTTTTTATACTATGCATTGCATCATCTACATACATCTACATTTTTAAGATGATCTACAAAAGCATTGATTCATTTTGCAAATTTTATTTTGAAGTCCATTAAATGTGTGCAATAGATGCTTATGTTTTAGGTAAATCTACTTTCAGCCATTTGCTAAAATGTCTAGAATAATTCACGTCCCATCTGCTTCCCGGTGATGAGAAAGTTACCTTTAAGAGATTAGCATAGTTTCTTAAGACCCATCTGAACATATCGTAAGTGTGTTTGCCTGTGTTTTTGGCAGGCTCTGGGCGTAGAATCCTCTCAGGATCGGGCTCTGATTAAGAAAAAGCTGAAGGATCTGAAGTTGTTGATGGAAAAAGCTCACAGAAACAGAGAGAAAATGGAGAAACAGCGCAAGAAGGAACTGGAGCAGGTTCAGAAACAAGTCCAGAAAAATAGCAACTCCTCCAGACCAGGAGAGGGCGCTACTGAGTGACAGTACTTTTTAACCCTCGCTACTATCTCACCATTATAAGTACAGATGAGTTCAGCAATTCAAGAGACTCGAAGTTCAGTGCAAAAGGGGCTTATTGCTAATGAGCTGCCATTGGATGAATTGAAACCAAAATGTCCAGATATGGATTTTATTTTTACTGAACAATATTCAGGTTTTTTTTTTTTCTTGTTTTAGCAGAATGATCACTGCTTTTTGGTTTCCTGTGTTTTATGTCTGATTAATATCTATTTATTTGCATATGGAGAATATGTATATGTTAACCAGAGCATATCAGCTCATAACTCATCCATACAAGCACCTTTAGACAATGTACACATGCAGAAAACCTAAATATGAATATGTCTAACGTGCCATTTTTTTTCTATCAAAACAAGGATAGTTTGTTCAAGGACGTATTTTTAATACGACAAAGCACAGGTCATAGTGATGGACAGTGTTGCTGTCGAGTGTCTCTTCACCTCAGACTAGAGTTTGAGTGCTGCTCAACAGAACCACTACAGTCTGACGCAAACCTTACTGTGACGAGAAGAAAGCCATTCCGGGAAATGGGATATCACGGACCCTCATTGTGGATATTTCACTGTATACTTTGAACCTACTGTTCGGATCTCCTTCCACGACCTGCCAGTATTCAAGTCGAATACAACTGACGTGTACGTTCTTCTCCGAGCTTGACACCTCAATGATCTTTGGAAGTCACGTGCTGGCAATGCGATACTAAAGGAGTCCTCCAAAGATGCGAGACTTGTACTCTAAAAGAAAAAAAAGCAAGAAAAAGCCCCTCTGCTGCTTCTGTTCCACAGCTACCTGCTTCAGTCCTCTCCATCTCTGTGAGGTAGATCTCAGTTAGACCCAAGTGCTGCCTTTTGAAGTGCTTTATGGTTTTTGGTTCGAGGTTACAGTCTGGATCACGATTGTGTGAACGCACGTCTATTTTACCGGCATCCAGTAGAGCAGATGACAAATGTGCACTTAAAACAGACCTGTATCTATATACACCACCAGGGCTTGACATTAACCCCCGCCAACCTGCCAAATGCGGGTGTATTTCAGCAGTGGCGTGTAACACAGTCACTTTGCCGGGTTGAACTTTTTATATAATATGTACATTTTTCAATTGTAGTCTTTTAAAAAGGCTTCTGAAATAAACTAAGTGCAATATATGTTGTCAAAAATATAGATTTTTCGATGCGTATCGATACTGAAATATCTGAAATGCTTCCAGTGCTAATTTCCCGCAGAATAGATACACGAATCCAGCTGCCGGTCTTGGCGAATGTTCACGTAAACACAGTTAGTTATGTTTTAAGTGAAAGGAGAAAGAAAACGCACGTATAACAGTATAATGGACCGTGTGTCAGGTATTAAAGTGACAGCAGCCTAATATTCCTGCTGACAAAATATGAGATAATATTCAAAATATCTATATGGCAGTTTTTTTCCATTGGTATCGATGTTGAAATTGTGGCCAGTGAAAATGCTGAGTGGATAGTTACTTTGGAAAACCACTAGCCACAGTAGCTGGGGAGCAAAAAAGTTAATGTCAAGCCCTGTACACTACCATTCAAAAGTTGAGGGTTAATAATATTTTTTTTTTGATACTTGCAAGGATGCATTAAATTGACCAAAAGTGACAGTGAAGACATTTATACTGTTTTAAACATTGATTATAATAATAAGTGTTTCAGCATATTAGAATGATTTCTGAAGGATCATGTGACAGTAATAATGCTGAACATTCAGCTTGGATCACAGGAATAAACTTTTGAATGGTAGTGCATGTTATCTTATCAGTATAGACTTTATTCAGTTTGATCCCATTGTGTTTTTATCAGTATTTGTCACACTCACAAAGAGAGCACCGTGACGTGGTAAATAAATCTTTTATAATGTAATTTACTGCATAGAGTAACCGTTTATCCTGGGTTGTATTTTAAAATTTATGCAACACATTTCCCTTATGTATCCATTGCAAGTATACAAAACACAGTAGCCTACAGACGTCGCTTTTGCATTTTAGATTCAGCTTTGACGAGTCATACAGTATTAACCTTTCACTGCCCAGTTTTATCTGTCCATATCACATAAACATGCTGTTCTCCCATCTGTGATGATGATGTTCATGTTTACATTTGAATTACTGGTTATTTCCATAGCAACACGAAGGCAGCTTCAGTGGTACTTCATGGGCACTGTACAGAGAACATTAGGCAGTGCCTGATGACCCTGTGGATTTATTATAAGCACTCAAATGGGACTCCATGTAAGATTATATTCATTGTTACTTACTGAATTATTTATCTCTAATAATTTGAAGTCTGTCATAATCTATTTATTTTTGTTCCCAATCAAAGAAATGTTTGTAAATCAGTTCACGTTCTTTAGTTATGAAGCAGTTTTACATTGTAATCAAAAAGTCAGATAATTAGTTTCTTCATTAACTCACAATGCTCTTGTGAAAATATCTTTATATGCTCGTCTTAACATTGTGAAATCCTTTCTAACTGGAAAATTACCTGCTGTAGATCCACATCTAACCTGCCTATCCATTTACGATATACTGACTTTTGTATGTGAAAGTTAAAGCAATAGCTTTTTTTAAACTTCCATGAGGAGACCGAAGACCGGGTCTGTCTGTTTGAATATGTCTGTGTGTGCAAGGATAATCATGTACTGATTTGAGGACAGAAATGTGGTTCTCTTTCGTGGGTTATTTTGTTGTTTCCACCATAAAGCAGATTCAGTCGGGGCTGCACGCAACACCTGAGAAAAGAGCGTTAACCTGTGTATTTTCTTTTGTCATACCCGCATGAGGGACCTTAATGTGCCATAGCCTACCCATTCTTTCCAAAATACTCAATTTTATCTTATTTTTGTTCATGAAAAATTAAAAGCCTTGTGAAAGTTTGTCATGTTGGACTGTAAATACACTTCAAATGACACATTTGGTCAGAGAACTACAATGAAAGATCATTCCAAAGTGTCTCGAGTTGTTCATGTGTAAGGTGTGATTTTGGTGTGGATGTTTTAAACTTTACAAAATTGCATTTTGGCAAATTGGTTCTGAACTTGTATGAGAAATAAGATCATTCCAAACTTGTCTCGAAGTTGTTCATGTGCAAGCAGTCCGTGGATTCAGATGTGTCCAGTTGTTAAATTAATATACATGTGATTTGTATGACCTCAAATGAATTATCAATTTGAGACTATCGATTTGTCGCAACATCCCCTGAAATCACAATCAGCAGTTTAATGGCCTTTAGTCCCTGTGTGTTAGCTTTGAGGTCACCTATAAGGTTGTATACTGCTAAAATATTTTTTTGTAAGATTTTGTCTTCCAGGAAAACGAACAAAAAATATTGATGACTCATCATGCACTACACAGATTTTTCTCTAATCAGATGCTCTCTAGAATAAGAATGCTCCGCCCCCTAATACCACCTCCAACCAATTAGCAAACTGCTTTTTTTAAAGGATATTTCCTGCCCCAAATGTCCTACTTTAATATGAAAGCACTTAACACAGAAAAAGCCTTGTAACTCAAACCTTGAAAAATTCTAATGTGCTGATTTAAGAAACTCTTATTGTTAGCACATCTGAAAATGGTTGCTGCTTAACTTGGGGAAACAATACTGAACATCTTATGTCAGCTTTATGGTGTTAATTTTCATAAATGCAACTTTAAGACTACAATTCACCTATTTCATCTATCCAATAGTTATCCTATCACAGTTTTGACATGTTAAAGGGATACTCCACTTTTTTTTGGAAATAGGCTCATTTTACAACTCCCCCAGAGTTAAACTGTTCAGTTTTACCGTTTTTTAATCCATTCAGCCGATCTCCGGTTCTGGCGGTACCACTTTTAGCATAGCTTAGCATACATCATTGGAGTGGACAAGACCATTAGCATTTCTAAAAAAAAATGACCAAAGAGACCGACGGAAAATGTAAAGTTGCGATTTTCTAGGCTGATATGGCTTGGAACTATACTCTCATTCCTGCGTAATAATCAAGAAACTTCACTGCCGTACCATGAGAGCAGCAGGCGTAATGATATGACGCAGCGCCTGAAAATAGGCCACCTTCCTTCAACACAACGGAACTATTTTCAGGCGCTGCGTCATATCATTACGCCTGCTGCACTCATGGTACGGCAGTAAAGTTTCTTGATTATTACGCAGGAATGAGAGTATAGTTCCTAGCCATATCAGCCTAGAAAATCGCAACTTTACATTTTCCGTCGGTCTTAGTGCACGATGTAACTACAGAAGAGTCAAGTTTTAAATAGGAAAAATATCGAAACTCTTTGGTCATTTTTTTTTTTGGAAATGCTAATGGTCTTGTCCACTTCAATGATGTATGCTAAGCTATGCTAAAAGTGGTACCGCCAGAACCGGAGATCGGCTGAATGGATTCAAAAACGGTAAAACTCAGCAGTTTAACTCTGGGGGAGTTGTAAAATGAGCCTATTTCCAAAAAAAGTGGAGTATCCCTTTAAGGTTTTGCAAGACCAATGTGTGACCTTGGTTAACTTTTGATTAACGTTTGCCTTTTTTAATCATGGTTTTGCCCAAAATAATACAGTACAGTAATTGTAGGCCTAACTGTAATAGCCTATCAGAGTAAATCAGTATAGCCTCTTCTTCTGCAAACATTACGTTTACTCATTTAGCAGAAATGAGCAATTCGTTTTAAGGAGGCATAACAGAAGTGCTCGATAGCTAAACAAAGTTTCAAAAACCGTCTAAACAAGCTAGAACGTGGAGGGATTAACAAATTGTGAAAGCAAAGAGGAAGACGTTTTTTTAGCAGCATGTAACTTAGGCTAGTTATGGAAAACGAAGACTTTCGAATATTTCTGTCATGCAGTCGATATTTGAGTGTATTTGGCGGATATCATGGAAGGTAGGCTAGCCTACAATAATATTTTTTGTAAAGGTAAACTTATAGTGTTTGCCCGGTTTAGTATGCTAAGCATTGACCTCTTCCCCTCAGTCTATTAATAGTCATACTGTGACTGGCTCCACCGATTGTGTTACAGCTACGGTCACCGAATTCACAAAGCTTTGGGGATTACATTTAGACTACTGAAAAAGTGTTTCTTGCGGATTAATCGGTGTGTTGTGTGAGATATGAGCGGGCCTCGAGCAGTTCTCGATTTAGCTGAGGAAGATGACCGGGATTTGTCGCGGCGGGAAGCAACGGAGCTTTTAAAGACACGCTTTCTAGAAGCGCTCAAGCGTGACGATGCAGCGGAGGTTTCTAAAATCATTCGCACCACCAGCATCGACATAGACGCTGTGTTAGACGTGGAGGACCGCGATATGACCCTTGCCTCGTATAAGCAAGGTAATTCATGATGACAGCACAACAGTCGCTCTTTAACCAGATAAATCATTACACTGCATGACTGCAATTAGATATTCAGCCACAGGGTGGAACCAGAATACCAGTAACACAAATAAGGATCTTCTAAATCACCCTCAGTGAAGCACGCTTGAACATAAATTGTGTCCTGCAGTGTGATATGCTATGCACTATTTAATCTAAAACCTTTTTGTAAATAGCTTTTGTTTAGGTATATAATCCTACAGGTGATTTGTATGTATCAAAAGCTTTTTGTACTAAATTAGTTTGTCACAACATCCCGTCAAATCAAAAATAAGGAGTTTAATGGACTTTAGGCTTTGTGTGTTATCTTTGAGGCTACCTATACGGTTGTACATTGCTTATTTTGTCAAAAAATATTGATGACTCATCATGCACTACACAGATTTTTGTCTAATCATATGCTCTCTAGAATGAAAATGCCCCGCCCCCTAATACCGCCTGCAACCAATTAGCAAGCTGCATTTTAAAAGGATATTCCCTGCCCCATGTGTACTATTTTTTTAATATGAAATATGTGGACACACTAGGTTATTGGCTACCAGGTTATAAGTTGGAGACATCCTGGGCGATGGGGCTTCACGTGTGTATGATGTACAACGCTTTGGAGAGTGCCATAGTCCTTCTGCAGAACGGGGCAGCGGTCAACAGGAAACCTAATGGGAAGACCCCTCTACATGTGGCCTGCACGGTGTCTAATGCTGACTGTGTGGAACTTCTGCTGGAATGGGGCGCACGGATCAACAGCATGTCCCTCGGTGGACACACACCTTTACACTACTGCGTTACATCAGAGTCTTTGGACTGTGCCAAACATCTAATTCTCAAAGGTCCGTACATTTGAAAAGTCATGATTACACATCTAAAACTAAAATTATAACAACAAAAAATACCTTTTTTGGTGCTTGTAAAAAAATAAGTGTTAGCTGAAATAAAAATAAAATACATATAATAAAAAAAACGTATTTCAGCTAAATCCCAAGGCAATATTTTTCAATTTCATTTAGTTTAACTTAGGCCTGGTTTCACAGACAGAGTTTAGATTAAGCCAGGATTAAACCTTAGTTCAATAAGGACATTCAAGTAGCTTTTATAAACGTCTTAAAAAACACTACTGATGTGCATCTTGAGACAAAACAATGGCACTGACATATTTTAAGATTTGTCAGTGCAAGTTGCTTTCAGTTAAAACATCTCAAACATGCATTTTAGTCTGGGGCTTAAGCCTGTGAAACCGGGCATTAATGTACAAAAATGTACTCTACTGAAATAAAAATGAATAAAAACTATATAGACATATTTTTTTTTTTAAATGGACAAAAACACAACAAAACTACTCAAACTTTAACTAAAATTAAAATGAAGATGGAATATATGCAAATAAAAACTTTTAATTTTAAAATTGTAATAAAAAAAAACAATCTTAATAAAAAATATTATTTAAATATATTTCAAATAAAATCTATAATAGTATCTCAGTGATATTAAAATCACACAGCTTAGTTCATCTAAAAAGAAGAATCTGTCATTTTTTATTCATCCTCATGTCTTTCCAAACCTGTATGACTTACGTTCTGCGGAACACAAAGATTTGAACTGTGTTTGTCCATATAATGAAAGTCAATGGGGTCCAAACTAACACTGGACCTCACTGACTTTCATTGTGTGGACAAAAAAACACACAAAACACTTCTAATCTGACTTCAGGAGCAAATATCAACATGCCCAGTGAGGAGAACCAAGACACCCCTCTGCACAAAGCGGCCCGCTTCGGTGTCCCTGAACTGGTGGCTTTATATATTTCTCAAGGAGCTGATATTAATGCAGTCAACGGCTACATGGAGACTCCTCTGATCACTGCTGCATTCTGGGCCATGGACATGCGTGAGCGAACCTACAGCTCAGACCACCATCTTGTCTGCCGGATCCTGTTGGACCACAATGCTAACTTGTATTTACATGAGGAAGACAAGAAGACGGTGTTGCACAAAGCGTGCTGGAATTGTGACCATGTGCTTATCCAGATGTTCCTGGAGGCCGGTGCCGAGACTAACGCTATGGATGTCAATGGATGCGCAGCTATACAGTATCTTCTGAAGGTGACGCAGATCAGGCCGTGGGCCATTCCTGAGCGCTGCTATCAGCTGCTGCTGAACTACGGAGCAGCCCGAGTGTATCCACCACAGTTTCACAAGGTACATCACTCACCCATTATTATTTTGGTATATTTTTATGGCCGACGGGTCTTAAAATATTACCGTTGTTGTTCTTGGTTGGTAAGTAGGTGTTGCAGGAGTGTTATGAATTCCCCAGGGCAGTGGAGGTGATGGTCAATTCATATGAACACATCAAGTACACTAAAAAATGGAGAGCTGCCATTCCTGAAGCTGTATATGAGGTCAGAAACTAACTTTTTCTACAATTATTATTTAATCATGTTTTTTATTATTTAATAAAAGATTAGAAAATTAAATATAATAAAATATATTAGTTCTATTATTCTTTTAAAATATTCTAAAATAAAACAATTATTATTTTAAAATTTAAAATTAGTGCGAAAATAAGCTGTTGGAAAAGGTAACACTTTTTTGGAATCATGTGACACTGAAGACTGGAGTAATTATGCTGAAAATTCAGCTTTGACATCAGAGAAATAAATTACATTTTAAAATATAGTATAATAGAAAACATTATTTTAAATTGCAATAATATTTCACAATATTACTGTTTTTACTGTATTTTGATCAAATAAATGCAGCCTTGGTGAGCATAAGAGACCTACTTCAAAAACATTAAAAAATATTATTGATCCCAAATATATATTGGGCTGTGTAAAGAAAACAATATTTTGTGATGTTTTTACTTGAAAATTTTACTTTTTTTTTTTACAAAGTGTCTTCCAGTTGTAGGGCATGTTATTTGCATCTTATGCATTTCAATCTAAATATTCAGATGACATGCTAAAAAAATTCTCTGTTGTATTTTGTTGCCCTGCAAGCCTTGAATTCAAGAAGTCCATTAATGAAGTGTTGCTTTTCTTCTTCATTTAGCGGCACAGGAATTTCTATGACTCTCTGTTTGCCGTCTGCACCAACAATCCACGCACTCTTCAGCATCTGGCCAGATGTGCAATACGAGCCGCATTGTCGAATCGCTGTGAATTGGGTGTCCAGCGATTCATTCTTCCTTCATCAGTGAAGAAATACCTTCTTCTGGAGCCTGTTGGAATCATATACTGACTTCATATTCTGCATTACAGACATATGACTGCTGAAGAGTCACCATCTTTTACATAAATCCTCCATACATCATGTTTGCTTGTCAGACATTCCACATAATTCCAGACCAGTGTTGGCGACATTAGATGTTTCATTTACATCTTTTTGTTTGTTGGTTTCCAGGGCTTGCTTGCTTTTTATTTTTAAAACAATAATTGCTCTGATTTATTTAATATGAATACTTAATATTAAAAATAAATATGAAATATAAACAATGAATAATTTTATACGAATGCTAATAATATTTAATATATTTACACTATTAATTACGACACTTTCAAAAGTTATTGAGCATTCCACACATCCATAAGCCTCATCATCTGTGCTATAATGAAAGTCAAGTTTTAAGCTTGTCTGCTAAGACTGTAGATCATTTTTGAGGGGGAAATGAACAATGGAAAGCCATATTTAGCATAAGAGGATAATATCATGGAGTACGCCAACAGCACATTACAGATAACAGCTGAATAGGAGGAGATGTCTAAGCCATTAGTCTTTTGGTCAAAGGAAAAACTGAAGTGCTTATCAGGCTTTAACCCCGAATAATGAGAGCTGACACAATAGTCATGGATCCTCTTTAGAGGGGCCTCAATTCATTTAAGCTATAAAGGGGTTTAAAGGTCTTTCTTTTTGACAAGTTAAAATGATACAATCCAAGAATAAGAACAAAAGTAACAGGGCTATATGGTTAATCTGGATGAATGTTCGGAATTTTGTGGATTACAGTTTTAAACTCTGTGTTCCCAAAAGCCACAAGACATAATAGAGATTATAATATTTTATCAACCCATAAGAACTACAAATGTTTAATATATTAATAGTAGGCTACCCGAGTTTTTAACTAACTTTCTATTATAGCCTATACAATTAATTATGGTTTTTAAGAAGGCCCTACTTGTTTTTCTCTAGTTTAATGCTCGACTCGGATTCCATGACTCACTCATTACTCATAACAATACAAAGACTCGTTTCGCCACCTACTGGCGTAATTATGGAACCAGACCTGATTCATGAATAAACTCGAAAGAATCTTTTTCGTGAACAGATTCAAAAGAATCGAGTCACTGAAATGATTCGAATCCCCCGATATACAATGTGAGTTTACGTGAAAAATTATCGACGGCCATCTCTATAGCTGCTTGTTACTAGCCATAATATGTAATAAACGAGCTCAAGGCTTTCTGTGGAAATCTGCTAATACAGGATTCAGGCTTTTAATCAGTGACATTGGAGGTTTGTGGTGGACATCAGTGACCTCAAGTCATTGGCCTCAGCACTTGGTAGGCTAACTATTTTTGATAAGGGGAGATGGGCTTTTCATTCTAGTCAGCACTAATTGGAGGTATTAAGGATGAGTGCTGTGATTACTGGGCCCGAACTTACTTATTTTTGTGCAAGTTTAGGGTAAATCATCTGTTCTTCCTATCTCTCTGTACGCCCACACAGTCAACCTGTCACCTGGAAGCATTGATTCTTCTTTCCTTCAGACAGCCTGTTTCCACTCATTCCCTACAGAAGAGAAACAGCTACTAACAAATGAAGCTCTGATCCTGAAATGTATAGACCGACTTTTAGTTTGATCTTGTTTTGAATGGGATTAAGTCAAATTATATTTTATTTTTTAAGCACATTAAAATTGATCACAATGTAGAGCAACAAGCACTGTATATGGTAGTTCCTTTGGACATTAGGGACTAGCAGCAGTTGTGTGGTTTTAGAAAAAAGGGGAAATTGTGTCAGTGACTGACAGATCAGGCAACAGGCGGTGCTGTTATGGTTCTTAAAATAGCACTATTTTCCAAAGAGGGCGGGACTCTGGTGTCACAGCCACCAGATTTAGTGCTGTTAGGAAAGACTGGTAGATGTGCAAAAGAAAAGACGGATCATTTTGTTCCCGTCCTGTGGCTACAGGCCAGAAATAAACAGAGGATCTGTGCCAAAATCCTGGCCTTAAGTAAGAGTGTAGCTCTATGAGACATCCCAGGCTACACAACTACAGTTGCAACAATATCGTTAAACACCACCTCAGAATAATCTAACCAAGTGAATTGTGACACCGGTTTAACCACTTTCAAGATGGTTTATACCATTCAAAAAAATCACACACACACACACACAGTTCTTCCAACCCTAATTGATGGAGTATGTAGCTTTTCATTTCTTACAAACCATGCAGGAAGACCATTGCCATATTCCAGGATGACAATGTCAAGATTCATCAGGCTTAAACTGTGAAAGAATGGCTGGGAGGGAGCATGAAGAATAATTTTCACACAATTGGAATTAACATCAACATTTGATGTTGCAAGAGTGCAAGAGTCCAGCACTCTGTAAAGTCTCCTCCAGCACATCCCAAGACTTTCAATGAGACTGGACTCAGAGGAGCCACTTCATGTGTGAAAATGATACTTCATGCTCCCTCCAAACTGGAAAATGTCCAAACTGGACCGTTTTCATTTATATAAATTCTGTTAAAAGGACATAAAACCAAAAGGAAACCTTTTTTCTTCATTCATGGTTTTAATAGTACATAAAATGGCACTCTCTCACTGAATGTGAAATTGAAATACAGTTTCATGAATAGTGCTGAGCATTCATTAACACAGTTGCTCCTTTGTGAATACAGGATTGTGTATCTAAAACACGTCAAGAAGCAGGCGTGATTTCACAAGGACAGAGATATCGAGGGATTGCAAAAAAATTAAGCTTATGAGGTATGAATGAATAACATCAACATGGTAGATGTCAGTTCTAGATTACAATTGGAAATGTGCAAATGATCTACAGAGGTTGTCTAAGTACTTCCATTTCTGTATGAGGCAAATACATGATAGCAAACTGCTAGCAGCTAAAACACACCCGGAGTTTGATGAGTGTTACTTGACAGAGAGCAGCTGCTCCCACTTGAGTGCCCTTAAAATTCATACAGGTCCTTCGCATTGCTTTCAAAAAGCCAACTTTACAAATATTACATTGAAATGAAAACAAAACAACAATAAAAACAAAATGAAATGATAAAAAAAAAAAAATAGAAAGGCAAATCTGCACAATCCTGAGATAATATATTTTAAAACAAGAAATGATTTCAACAATATCTTTCATTTATACGCAAATGAACATAAAAATATTGCCTCTTCAGTGTTTTCATGCTAAGAAAAAAAAACCTACTATAGTGCTACATGTCATTTTTGTTCATACAGAATACCTGAAATGTTCAGAACATAAATTATTGTGGTCATAAAAAGCTTCACACATAACAAAGATCAACATCTAGCCAGTTTTAAATAAATCAACACTGTAGTTACTAACCTGGGCCCAAACTTACTTTGTCGGTTCCTTGTGACACTCAATCTTTTATTTATTTATTTTCATTATATTAATGTCAGTGGAGTAACTTGGATGTCATCATGACAACTTTTGTTGTTCTTACTTTGAAAATGAATTAACATATTTTTAAATGTATGTTTATGAAATGATCTGGCCTTAATGTTAGCATCACATTTTTACATTTAAAACTAAATGGAGTGTTAGACAGTAGGCCCAACTGTTACAGGAACATTTCAAGCTCACAATCAAGCAATACACAACAAGGGTCATTCTAACGTTTGCATTGTGAATGCAGTTTCTACCAAGGAAATCAATAAAGCCTTGGTTACTTGTGTTCTTGCTAGAGATACATGCTATAAAACTCACACAAAGCTGGTAACTTGGCCCCACTGACTAAAACACCAGTTCACATCCTCTAAAACACACTTACAGAATCAGTTCAAATCCGTGGTAATGTGTAGGAATCAACATATTCAAACAATCAGTCCGCTTCAGTCCATTCAACTGAAGTCTCTGACACAGAAGAGTTAACATGTTGTACCGTGTCCTATGAAACTATGAATGAAAGAGTTAACACTGCAAATTAAGTGTGTGGTGTATTACAAGCAATGTGACATGTGGAAGACAAAAATGCCCTTGTTATTCAGACTGTAACATTCATATGAAGACCATTATCAACCCTTTGATAATTCCATAATTCTGAAATATAGTCACATACATAGTTATCCAAAATAACTCAAGGCCTCCACTATAGTTCAGTCCTTATGGTTATCATATGAGCTTCTGCTCCCTCTCAAACACCGTACTCGTACTTTCCCAGTTTCTTGGGTTCACTGCTCGGGATGCACCAGTCATCCGCCTCCATGCTTGTTTGATAATGCCGTAAGGCTGACTTGTTGAACACAGGAAGCCTCTCTATTGATTCAGTGGATAAAGCCTGCAGGGGGTCAAAGAGACAAAATAGACAGTGAATTGAACGTTTTTAATATATGAATGAATTTTAGAAGACTTTCAGCCAAATTCTAAATTGCGGTCACATTTACTGTTGTTCTACGAATGTTTGTGGGTGAAATCCAGTCATTTTAAAGAGTCCACATGATTGGGAGTTTCCTGAAGGATTTCTTGACAGATTTTGTAACTGGTTTTAGTTGGTCGCATGGGTTCGCCAACGGACCTCGTTACATTTGTGACTGCAAAACTGCACGCAAAATTTGTGAATGTACCTTAAAAAAAGACCTACCGGTATTATGCCCTTTTTCAAAGTCTTGATTTTGTTTTTGGGTTCTACTAGAATAGGTTTTCATGCTTCATTATTCAAAAAAACACATAATTTTTCACATATTTTACATTGTTGCAGCTCCTCTCTTCCCAGTCTGTCAGTAACGCTCTGTTTAGTTCCTGTCTCTATGAAGCCCCTCCTTCTGAAAAGCGCAATGAGCTCTGATTGGTCAGCTGGACCAGTGTGTTGTGATTGGTCAACCACTTTCAGCGTGTTTCGGAAATGTCACGAGTTTCAACACACTACTAACTAACTCAACCAACCCTTTTTTAATGAATTATTTAAATGAGGAATATTGTGGTGTGTTTGTTCCCGGAAGAAAACTCACGACTACAATAGAGGCGTTTCAGAGAGATCAGAAACAGTGACACTGATATAGAGATTAACTCACTTTAGAGAGACTTTGTGCTTTATAACTTTGCAGACATTTTTTTTTTATGCTCAAACTGTATCAATACGCACTAACGGAAGCATAATAGTTCCTCTTTTAAAGGTATAGTCCACCCAAAAATGAAAATTCTGTCATGAATCCTGTGGAACACAAAAATGTATAATTTAAGAATGTTGGTTACCAAACAGTTTCCCATTGACTTACACAACCACTAATAGGAACCAAACCTGTTTGGTAACCAACATTCTTCAAAATATCTTCTTTTGTGTTCTGCAGAAGAAAGAAAGTTCACGTTTGAAACGACTTGAGGGTGAGTAAATGATGACAAATGAGTAAATTCACTTTTAGCATAGTCACAAATTTTGCGGGCAGTTTTGCGGTCACAGATTAAACAAGGTCCAATGAATCTAACCTTTAATGCAGCATTGTGTGTGTACCTTTAGGTATATGACTGCCGACGTGCCGTATCCCTCCATAGAGTAGAGCTGCAGATCTCCCTGGAAGTACTTGGCATAAAGGCGGGAAATAGGAAGACCGTAGCCAAAACCAGCCTGAGAATACAAGCCAAAGTGAGTGTGTGAGAAAAAGAGAAACATTACAACTGCATTACAATACTGATCTGGTGTAAACAACAGACATTGTTAGAAATTCTGCTAATTTATAAATCTGTAAGCTCACAGCTCACAAAAAACATCACTGTGGATCAAAGATTTACCATGTGGTAACATTACACAACAGAGACTATCTGCATACAGTGTGCTGTAATAGACAACCGTGTTACCGCGGCTCTTACCAGGGGAGCATTGCGAGTGTCTTCAGTCACAGGACTCGGTGCAGTTGAATACATGTAACTAAAAAGCCTTTCGATTTTCCTCAAAGGAACCCCACCTCCTCTGTCAGACATCTAAAATAACACAAGAGTCGTTACAAAACAAGTTTTGACCCTCACAGCTCTTGCCAGCATGTTGTGAGTTAAAACAGAGATAAAATATTCAACTTTTGATGAACCGTTAATCTGTGAATCTAAAGCCTCGTTCACACCGCCAGCGACTCTTGTCGTTCCTAGTGCTGGCGCTCTATTGTTATTGGTAGACTGCACACATCATGGCCATATCTTTATAAAGTGCCATCAAAAATGATATATGTCCCATAAAACTAATATATCATTCCAATCTGACTAGGAATTAAGACTGAAAAGAATTAAAAGTAGCATAGTTGAGCCCTGATAGGGGGAACAGACCTGGGGCGGCTGGATAAACTGCTTAGACTAGTCATAAAAGTTAGTCATCCAATTTTTTCTTCAAGATTGGTGCTAACTTTTTAGAATCAGTTACATAAAAAGGTAGATTGGTTTAATTATTTGAATCAGGAAAGTAAATTTCTAGTCAAATTAGTTCTTAAGACACAATCGAGATGGTGACGTGTGAGCTCCACTGACAGTCTTCGCTCCTATTGGTTGTCCCTCGCAAAATTCACTGCTTATTTGCATAAAGTTAAAGTTTTCTGAACTTTGTCGCTTGACAGGCTTACATTCTGTCGCCACTGTCACTCGTGTCTCGTTTACTCGTGTAAATGGGGCTTGAGTGTTTGTCAAAGAAAGCTCACCTTGATGGTCAGATCTTCTTTTCCTAGAGAAACTCTCACTTTGATTGGTGGGAGATGTAGGCTGGTCTCATGGGTTTCAATAGTTGCTCTCATTGCATTCTGTTATGGAGAAACAACTTTATTATCTTCAAATGCATGATGGCCATGTCATTCCAAACCCGATGGACCGTCTTTGTTCCATGGAACACAAAAGGAGATGTTTAGCTGAATGTTCATGCTGCTCTTTTCCATATAGTGATGTTCAGTGTTGTGCATAACTAAGTAATTAAATGCTGTAATTTACTGACTTTTCCCTAGAAAAAGTAAAGGATTACTCTTAATTTTTCTGTAATTTAATTACAGTTACTTCTGATGTAATTGCATTAATTACAGTATAGACAATAGAACAATTCTATATAAAACATAGTGGATTTAACATCTAATGTTAAAATGTTTAGAATGTAACTTTCTATCTTTAAATACTTGATCAGTTCAAGATTAATTTATGCAATTTTACATTATTTCTTTGAAAGAACTAAAAGAGCAGTTTCATGCCTATCCTTGTATTGTTTAACGGGTCGAGGTTGATACGTGATTTAGAAAGTAATAAGTAATGCAATACTATTTTAGAGAGAGAGTAATAAGTACAGTAATTTAATTACATGTAATTAGTAGCTAGTAATTAATTACTTCTTTAGAGTCACTTACCCAACACTGGTGATGTTATATAGGCATCATTTATATAAGCTATAAAAAAAAGCACCATAAAAATAGTCCATACAACTTGTGTGCCATATTCCAAGTCTTTTGAACCCATATGATAAATTTGGATGGGGAACGGACCAAAATTTAAGTCATTATTCACTGAAAATCTACATCATTTTGTACAACCTTTCATTTTGTGTTCTGCAGAAGAAAGAAAGTCATAGAGATTTGGAACGACATGAGGGTGAGTAAATGATGACAGTATTTTTCTGCTCTTGTGTTTATATAAGACTATAATTGTGTGTGGGCTATAGCTACAATAAAGTGATTCAAGTACCTTGAAGAGCTCAAAGAGCATGTGGTACAGATGAGAAGGCACATAAACTATATGTATTGGGTCATTGGGTCCTTTAACTGCAATAACAACAGATATATTGATTCAGTAACAGTTGTGTAAACCAGAAAGCGAGGCCATAGCATGCTATCCCACATGAACTTATAATTTTAAGAATGCATTGAAGAAATCAACATTCGCATGCTGCCCAAAATAGTCAGCTATGAAGCACATGATAGAGGTTATGCTGGCTAATTTGTTACTATGCGTTGATAAAACAGGTGACCAGCTGCAACGGTGGTCACTCAACCTTGTAGGTTCTCTTTGCTTGACAAAATAATACACTGCTATTTACATGACTAAAAGATAAACCGTGAGATCATGCCAACTTTTTGCCAATGTGTAACTAAGCATACAGCGCAAATCATATCATCCAATATATTTCTCCATAGACACACAGTGATAAGATTATAAAGCACTATTTCTGTCTACACGGATAGGCGATTCAAGTGCTTACTCAATGTGTTGCATATTAGCTTCATTTTCTTATCAAATTCAAACACACTACGCTATTATTGATATATACACTATATTGAATTTAAGCAAATTCAAATACTCGAAACTATTATTTCTTACTATCTTAAATTTTGCTGTACATATAAATGTACATTACAGTTACACTGTAAGATTTTTTGCCCATCTTATGCTCATCAAGCCTGCATTTAATTGATCAAAAATGCATTAAAAACAGCATTATCATGATATAAAATAACTGTTGTGTATTTTAGTAAGCATGGAAGAAAGAAACATTTCTTATCATTATCAATGTTAAAAACAGTTGTGCTGCTTAATATTTTTGTAGGAACGGCTACATTTTTTCAGGATACTTTGATGAATAGAAAGTTCAAAAGAACAGCATTTATTTGAAATTGAATCTTTTGTAAGATTATTATGGAAGCTTGTTTCCGCCACTGACTAAAAAAAAAAAAAAAAAAAAATTGCGACTTTTTATCTCACAATTGCGAGATATGAAGTCAGAATTGTGAGAAATAAAGTCGCAATTGCGAGATGTAAAGTCGCAATTGTGAGAAATAAAGTCGCAATTGCGAGATATAAAGTCGCAATTCTGAGAAATAAAGTCGCAATTGCGAGAAATAAAGACAGAATTGCGACTTTTTATCTCACAATTCTGACTTTTTTTCTCACAATTGCGAGTTTACATCTCGCAATTCTGACTTTAGTTTATAACACATAATGGCGAGTTTATATCTCGAAATTCTGACATCTTTTCTCAGAATTGTGAGATTTAAACTCGCAATTGCGAGTTATCAGGCCAATTCTAAGGGGGATAAAAGACTAACTTTCCCCCCTCAGAATAGTTTATATCTCACAATTCTGACTTTACATCTCGCAATTCTGACTTTACAACACGCAATTCTGACTTTACAACACGCAATTCTGACTTTACAACACGCAATTCTGACTTTATATCTCGCAATTCTGACTTTCTAACACGCAATTGCGACTTTATTTCACGCAATTCTGACTTTACAACCTGCAATTACGATTTTATATCACGCAATTCTGACTTTATTTCTCGCAATTGTGAGAAATAAAGTCAGAATTGCGAGATGTAAACTCACAATTGTGAGAAAAAAAGTCAGAATTGTGAGATAAAAAGTCGCAATTACCTTTTTTATTTTTCATTCTGTGGCGGAAACAAGCTTCCATAGATTATAAATGTCTTTACTGTCACTTTACTGATTAATGCGTTCTTGCAACAAATTTTTTTTTTTTTTTTTTTACTGATCTCAAACTTTTAAAAGGTAGTGTCTTTTTAATAGCAAAGTTGAATTCAAGGTCATGCTTGATTGATCAGCATAATTGCACACTAAAGAGTCCAGGCATGTTTTATAGCATGCAGGACAAGAATGTGGCATTTTACAGTATACCCATAATCCCCAGCCAACACTATCCCACATCATCCCACAATGTCAAACAAATCTATAGATTAGCATTGAATCAGCGGTGGTGTAAATAACACTGTGGAGACCTTCATTGCAGAGTTCACCTCAGGACTCAGGCTCAGAGCACACAAAGACTGAAAAGTTTGAGAAAGCTCTCACTCACAGTTCACTTGTTTGATTTCCACTTCGGGAGAAGTCAGGTAGTACTGATCACACAGTAACTTGGCACTTTCATAGGCATCTAGAGAGGGAACGAGCGAGACACAACTTGAGTCGGCCAATGTAGGACATACAATGTCAATTTCACTTGCAGTTTAGTAGTAAAACAAATGTTTCACAGGCAAGAAACATGGTTAATTACCTTTTACAACCTCCACAGCATCACAATTTGGGTCGATACTGCCTATGTGTTTGGGGTGGGCTGGATTGGTGCTTCCATCAAAGATTAACGCTAAAATGAACACACATTTTAAGTACATTTTCTTTGCAGGGATGCATGATATATGGGTACTACATCGGTTATTTGCTAATATGAATGATTCTTAACTAACTGTATTGTGGAGCTAAACTGGATCTAAACTACTGTGCAAAATTTTGGGGTCAGAAAGATTTGTTTTTTTAAAGAAATTAATACTTTTATTCAGCAAAGATGCATTAAATTGATCAAAAGTGACAGTAAAGACATTTAAATTGTTAGAAAAAATATTTATATTTCAAATAAATGCTGTTTCTTTGAACTTTATGTTCATCAAAGAATTCTGATTTTTTTTTATCATGGTTTCCAAGAACTTTCTGTTTTCAACATTGATAATTAGAAGAAATGTTTCTTTAGCAGCAAATCATTATATTAGAATGATTTCTGAAGGATCATGTGACACTGGAAACTAGAGTAATGTGATCACAGGAATAAATGGCATTTTAAAATATATTCAAATGTAAAAGGTATTTTAAATTGTAATAACATATTTAATAATATTCCTGTTTTTGGTTTACAAGTATTTTTTAACAAATAAATGCAGCCATGGTAAGCATAAGAGACTTCTTTAAAAAAACTTAAAAAATAAAAGAAAAAAATCTTACTGACCCCATTTAGTTTGCCATCATCTAAAAAAAGTTAACCTATAAAAACACTAATGATTTAATAACATTGTTAAAATAATCTTAAGCAAAACTCAAAATGAATATCCATTTTTCATACTGGACATTATAATATTGCAATGCCTGAAGTATTTAAAATGAATTTGAATTTATTTGAAATATATTGTCTATTTATCAGTTATGCAGCTTTGGTACATTGTACATTACATTATCAGCAGATTTCTAGTCTATTGTTTCAGCTAAGACAGAAATATCCGGCGTACTGGCCAGGGCTTTAGAAAACATCCTGAACTCTTACTGTGCTGATTCATCAGCATGCGTGTGGAGATTCGGCTCATGTAGAAGCGGTCCAAAAAATACTGGACGTTCTGATTGGTCACAGGATCCACGCCAAAGGCCTCCTTGTACTCCAGCACTCCCTGTGCCATGGTGGGCACCACATTGTTATGCCTGTTCCTGACATTGATCAGCGTTTCTGTGAATCTAAGAGACATGCCATCCAGTTAAACACACTATTAGAGTTCATTAAAGCAGGCTGCAGCATGAGATAAACTGGTGTAAGATTCATGAAGAACTATTATGCCCTGTTACAAAAAAGAAAAGTTGGTTTTGGGGTCTACTAAAATAAGTTTTCATGCTTGAATGTAAAAAACCCCACATTTTTCACATATTTGACCATGTACACTGTTCAGTTCCTGTCTTTATGAAGCCCCTACTTCAAAAAGCGCAATGTGCTCTGATTGGTCGACTGGATCAGTGTCTTGTGATTGGTCAACAACTTTACGTGTGTTTGGGGAAATGTCACTCATTCAGGCCTCGCCACCTTTATTCTGCGTATCCATTGGCCAGGAATTATTTAAATGAGGAATATTGTGACGTGTTCGTTCCCAGAAGAAAACTCAAGACTAATCAAGGCGTTTCAGTGAGTTCAGAAACAGTCATAATATGGCAAGCCGTTTTAACTTTTATTCATTTCTAGGATATGAATTGTTGATATCAACAATTACATTTTTTGATATCAACAATTGAATTCTTGATATCAACAATTAAATTATTGATATCAAAAATGTAATTCTTGATATCAACAATTGTATTTTCACTAGTGAAATGTCACCATAGGCTGCCATTCAAAATCAATTGTTGATATCAAGAATTGATTTCTTACTAGTAGAAATATAATTTTTGATATCAATAATTACATTGTTACTAGTAAAAATGCGAATTCCTGATATCAATAATTAAATTGTCACTAGTCTAAATTTCTATTCTTGATATCAACAACTGAATTGCTACTAGTAAAAAATTTCATTTTTGATATCTGAAAATGTATTTCTGATATCAATATTATTTCAGATATCTAAAATGGCTTTCTTACTAGTAACAATCACATTCATGATTTCAGAAATTAACATTGTCACTAGTGAAAATTGAATTATTGATATCAAAAATGAACATTGTTACTAGTAGCAATTCAATTGTTGACATCAAGAATAGACATTTCAACTAGTGACAATTTAATTATTGATATCAAAAATAAAGGTTTTTACTAGTAAGAATTGTATTTCTGATATGTGAAATTGGAATTTCAACTAGTAAGAAATAAATTCTTGATATCAAGAATTGATTTTGAATGGCAGCCTATGGTGACATTTCACTAGTGAAAATACAATTACAGATATCAAGAATTATAGTTTTAACTAGTTGAAATTAAATTGTTGAAATCAAGAATTATCATTTTAACTAGTGAAAATGTAAATGTTGATATCAAGAATTAGCATTGTTACTAGTGAAAATGTAATTCCTAAAATCCAAAATGGCCATTGTTACTAGTAGAAATATTTCTGATATCAATAATTATCATTTTAACTAGTGAAAATGTAATTGTTGATATCAAGGATTCATATCCTGGAAATGAATAAAAGTTAAAACGGCTTGCCATAGTGACAGTGATATAGAGAATAACTGCCTTTAGAGTGACTTTGTGCTTTGAAACTTTGCAGACCTTTTTCATGCTCAAACAGCAACATTACACACTAAAGAAAGTTGCAAATGTAAAAAAAAAACATAATAGGTCCTCTTTAATATTGGACTTACTTAGTCAGGATTTTTTTATCCTCAGGGTCTTTCTCCAAAAAGTCAACAAGCTCCATCAGACTCTGCGCATACCTGTCGTCAAGAGTAAACAAACAGTCAGGGTTTATCTTTAGACTGGCCTATATGAGCTCAATTCATTGGGTTATAATAAGAGGCATAAAGTAAGAACTATAATACAATTTTTCCAAATAAATCGACATCGAATCAAATCAAATTGAGATCAGAATCACACTGAATCTTGTGAATCGGAATCAAATTAAATTGTGAGATCTGTACCAATACCCAGCCATATTTGAAACACAACCATAATGCACTGCACACATCAAGTAGTTCTGTGTATTCGTTCCTTCGTATAATAAAGCCAATATATTCATTTGTTTGAGTGGCTGAAGCTGTATAGCACTGATGGGTATTTACTCTAACCACTGATCGCGTCTTTACGAAACCTGAATGGCGAATAAATAGTTTTGCAAGGATATTTTAAAGGTTGGCATAAATGGGAGACATGCCGCACTGGGAACAACTGTCATGTGACACAGTGGACATACTGTGCTAGCTACCATCCACCTGAAAGACAGTGTTCTGTGTCAGTGTGCTGCACCGTCAAAGAGGACTTGTGTACATTCCAGACCTTTAGGAAGGTTACAGTGCACACTTGTTTGTGTTCAGTGTCTCATGATATTCGACACTGCATAACATTTCGATGAACACATTTGAAAGTTACATTTAGCTCAGGTTTTGATCTCAGCATGAGTCACAGATACTACAGTCTTGAGGACAAGGACTCTGAAGCACATAAGACTTTAAAATTCAAGTTATAAAAATATTATATGATCAAAATGCATTAAATAATTTGTAAAAAAAAAATGTAAGAAAAGAATAAATTCAAAAATTATTTAAAAAATGTTTTAATATAATAACAATAATAATTATTTATATATAAAAATTCATTTAAATTTATATAAATAAATGTATATATATAAAAAATATTTTTTTTGTTGAAAATTCTTTTTTTTTCAGACAGAGAGAAAACTTGAAGTATAATGCAGAGTAAATGTCATAATTTTAGCTTGTTTGTATTTTGCCTGTCCTCGTGTCATGTGTAGTTTTTTCATATTTTTTTAAAAACTTTTTTATAAGAGCAAAATCCACTGGGTTTTAAGTAAAAACTGTAAATAATAATGAAAAATTAAAAAAGTACTAAAATAAAAAACTAAAAAAGAATAAATAGAAAGTAAAAAAATTATATAAATAATAATAAACAAAAAAATTTTTTTTGATAATTTTGTGTCATTAGTGTAAGTGCTTGTTTGTGATTCGCCTGTTCCCAGTGTCACGTATAGTGTTCATTTAAAAAAAAATGTAGCCACTAAAAAAAATTCAGCAAAGTCAGCGGAAAACATAGTTTACATTCTGCCCATAATTACATAATTTTCAAAGCATTCCAGTTGACATGTTGAACACAAAGCCTCTGCCAAACCTTGTAAGACAAAGGGCAATAACAGCTCAATTTGAGTTTATAAATCATTCTGTCCTTCAAAATCCTGTCCATTCAGAACTTGTTAAACAAGTTCTATTCATAAACGGAAAAACTTTCCATGCCGAACAACATATTTAAATAAAAGTCCTTGTTGTTTTCCTTATTTTCAGTACTGTCAACAAATGAAATACATCTTTTACCCATGATTTCCTATTTTTGATTTAAAATGTACTTATGGCCAATTGCTTTTAATAGAGAACACTTGAGTGACAGGAAAGTTTACGGGACAGGGATCAGGACGTGACAAAGGTCAGACTCCGACCCACATCCTCATGAGATCAACGACTCTTACTGCCAGTACCTGCTGCGCTGCACGTATACAGTATTTTTGTCAACTTCAAAATGACATACACATACAAAAACTAGTTTCTAATATTCTAATTGATTTATGTTAAGCTAACTAAGAAAGATTGTTACTCGCCTGCCTGTGTCAACTGACTTCTTTATGGTGTAAAATGATGTAAACAGCACTAATGTTGTCAGGATGTAAAAAACACTCATAACTTTGACCTCAGGTTCAAATTTCTGAAGCATTATATATCTGTGTGCATGTTAGATAAACAGAAATATTGTCTGGAAACAAATTACTATCCAACCTGGACTATCCAACCTTGCTAGAATAGCAGCTAAATACTAAAAAATGCTGACGAAGGTTGGTGACATCCTTCGATTTTGCTAAGAGGTGTAAACAATGTGCTGAATCGACACAAGTACATGTCCAGCAGGAACATACTTCATAGAAACATACCATCACTCCCTTTATTTTTCCCATTCATTTCTCTCATAAGAATTTTAAAAACGTCTTTGTTAAAGCATTCGTGAATAACAAACAATAAACAATATTTTGATGTTTATTGCAAAATAAAATAAAGTAAAATAGGCATATATATACAAATATTTAAGTATTTTGAAAGTGTAGGGAGACCGACTTGACTATGTCATTTGCAGTACTTCATGGGAGTGGGCGGAGCTAACGAGATATTTTCTTGCATTTTGCTCGTCGAGACACTCTGATTGGTCGAATTTTCTGTAAAGCATCATGGGTAATGTAGTTTTCACGAATTCCGCGATTTAGCACGATTATTTTAGCCTGGTTAAAACCAGACCATTCTCAGTTGTAACTGAGTTATGGTCTGGCAAAGCGTCATAGACAAATCATTTCCAGAGGGGCGTCACCAACGGACGTCGCGGATAGACCTAAACCCACATCCGCCATGTTGTCACTGTCATGTGACCTGTCATGTCATAAATCCCCTCCCGCGGCCTCATGGGATAGTAAAGTGTCCATCGAATGCGCACTTCAGAATCTCGGCGGAAGTAGTAGGTCATCCAGGGACTTTTCGTCTACTGTGTTTCCGAATACCTTGATTCTTTTGCCGTTCTGTTTTCCGCATACTATATAGTAGGGAAGTATTCGAATTCGGACACAGCCTATTTGACTTCATTAAAAAAAGTCATTGAGTTTTAGTAAGATGAGAAATCTGTCATCATCATTCCTCAAATTGCAATTTAATGTCTCCATTAAATGCGCAATTTTATGTGCTCTGCAACTTTAAAGATCTTTTTCTAAAATAATTCACTGTCCCTTCTCTTTTTAAGTCATGTGCAGCAGTGCATTATAGGTCATGTATGTCATATGAGTTGTAAACAGTTAACAGAAAGCCTACAGTAGGCTGGGATTCGTCACACTGGTCTCATTTGGAGCACATGTACAGTTATGGACCTCACCAGCTTTGAAGAAGCTTCAGTGAAGGAGTGCTGAGCAGTTTGTCCGGGAGGAAGTCTATCTCCTTCATGATATTGGCTAACCGGACGGGAAGTTCTTGCCTCAAAAACATAAAGGAGGTCTTCTCACAGGCATTGGCAGATCCTGCGAGCAAGACAGGACTATGTTAGTAAGAATTTCACTCTTGAATGATTATATCTATATGTACTGTATACCTGATATTCACTATACAGTTAAGTCCAATATTTTGGCTTGATGCCTAACTAGACATTAGTTTGAACATAAACAATGTTCGGTTGTTAAGAATAAAATCTTATTAAAACAACAAAAATGGTCAAATTATTTGGGGAGGAGATATTAAATAATACCTAATTATTTATATATATATATCACAACAACAAACAAGATTGTTTATGTGCTGTCACCTACCAAATAACAATAGAAAAAGGTTACATCTCAAAACCTAGTGAGCTGCATAGACACTAGACAGCCGTATTCAGGTGAAGTATGCATTTATGATGCACACGATGCTGTAAACGCAAGTAGGCTGTTTTTACAATTAAAGTACTATGGTTATACCATGGTACAGTTATGGTAATACTGTGGTATTTTGATAACATGCAAACCTCCAAAAATTGCCAAAATACCATGCAGACATATGGACTTTTTTGTTAGTATTTTACTATGAGAATATACCATGGGGCAGTTATACTATTGTACTTTTATAGACCATGCATAGTACTGAATGATTACTACGGTATTTACATTGTGTCCATATAGTAGGCTACTACAAAAATGTCATGGCACTTTTTGTAAGTGCGCTCACTAGGTTTTCGGACACCACCACAATGAGCTGGACCCATTAGATCCATTTCAAACAGGTAAACAACTTACCAAAGTCAATGAACTGCTTCATTGACAGCGGGGACGGAGAGAACTTGGAGAATCTGTCCACCTGTTTAGGTATGTTCAGCTTGGAGCTGTTCTTCAGCATGATCTGGGCGAACTTCATGTTGATCTTCAAGTGAAACCCACAGATATTTAAATGTTCTCACCGAGTTATTGTTGTCCTGGTCTCTCATCAGACGCAGTTCGCAAAGTTGACATTCTAGCACAGCCTTACTTCATCGTGAAAATGAAGATCTCCGCAGAAATCCGGTTAGAAGAGTCCTCCTGAATGGCTCTAATTCGGTTTAATTTGTCATTGAGTCAAAATAACTGGCCAGCACAAGGTACAAAACAGGGTACAAACATAACGAGAGGGAGGGGAGAGGGGAGAGGGGAGACTGTTACTCCACTCTGCATAGAAATAGTTTAATAGAATTTAACCCACACATCAAGCTATTTCGTTCCATTCTTATCTGGAGCTAGAAAGTAATCATGTGATTACTCTTTATACAGATTATATAAAGAGACGTACTGTATGATTTTATCATTATGCTGTTCCTATCGCAGGCAATAGAAATGGACACCGCCATCTACAAGCTGCACATCTATATCGCCCTGCTTGTTGACGCATGCGCACAGCGGATGTAGAGTAAAGGTCTTGTGGGAGTGGGGGCTGAGACACATTTCAGGGGAGCTGTACAGTGTGTTCCGCATCCTCTATAACTGAGAGGACAAATCACTTAACCTTAAATTGTTTCCTTAATTACACAATTTAATACAATATAATAAGGACATATTGGGATAAAGGGTTAGTTCTTTTAAAAAAAATCTGTCATTAATTACTCACCCATGTCGTTCCAAACCTGTAAAACTTTCATTCATCTTCGGAACACAAATGAATATATTTTTAATGAAATCTAGATTTCTGTCCCTCCATTGACAGCTACGCACTACTACTGTTACTTGCAAAATGTTAATAATAAATAAATAAATAAAAAAGATCGTAAAACTAATCCAAATGAATTGAGCGGTTAAGTCCACATTTTCTGAAGAGATTCGATAGCTTTATACGATGAACAGATTTAATTTAGGCTTTTATTCATGTTTAAACATTGATCAGCGAACATAACAGAAGCTCAACCGATCTGTCAAATCAAAAAGAAAGAATATAGGCCTACTACATTTTTATTATTCCTGTAGTGACCTATTTTTAAAATGTGTGAAATCGCTTTTTGGAATGACCATTTACATTTTAGGCACGTTTAGGCTGTCAGCCCATTGAAGCTCAGCCTAAACAAGCAAACCATCTTTAGGCTGATTTAAGATATTTTTTAGCAGGGTGCTGAATGACAGAAGATAAACTATCTTGCTCATTTGGACTATGGCTCCATCTAGTGGCGTTTAACGATTGAAACCAACACTGTATTTTTACTTTCATGTTCAGATTTCATATGGTTGTTGGATGAGTGATTTAGCTAAACAGAAACGTAAACGTTAAATGAAGTTTACACATTTTTGAATTCCTTTCTGCTTAAAATAAAATTAAACCACTTTAAAACTAGCCATGCTCATTAGATGGTCTACTCTCTATTCTGGTTTTAAAGGGGTTTGGGGCACTTAAAAAAAAAAAAAGCTGAGCTAAGATGAGCGCCATGGTGAGAGAGACCCAACTAAAACCTGCTACTAATACAAGATAAGACCAGTTAACCATTTTAGGCTGGTTCAAGCTGGGTGTTTTTGTTTCTCAGCAAGGGGTAATGGAGTTAGATTGTGTTTATTGTTTTTTGGTTAACGTGGTCCGACAGTGGAAAAGCGGCTAATGTTTACATTTGTCCGTCAGTGCTATATAATATCCGCTAGGTGGCGCTGTTGTCGTGTATTCGGTGTTTTCTATATTGACAGCATTTGGAGGGTAAAGCGAGGTGGGATCTGTTAGTTATCTCGAGGTAGCAAGGCGGTGTTTGAGCATCTGCCTCTGAAAAAATGTAGGCCATTAGCCTTCAATTTTGCCAACAGCATCGCTGCATATCTTAATGATCGTACCATAATATCTCAGACATGTTTTAAATCAAGAGTCGTATTAAAGCTGGTGGCAGATTGTGTACATCAGCAGTGATACAGCATATTTACAGTGGACAGCAGCATCCACACTGGAGCAGGTAGGACGTGTCACACACACCGGGTGCATGTTTCTCACGCTCACATATCTGTGAGGTTTCATACGTGTGTTTTGTTGAAATGGCGCGCTGTGTTTCACGCTTTATGCTGGATGACTTCATAATCGCATATGGATTATGACGTCATTGTGCTTTTGGTACCCAATGTTAGCAATAGCCACACTGACATCATTTGCACATTCAAATGTATCGTGACATTTATGAAGTATAACTTGATTTATCAATAATAGCGTAATCTGTAATCGCATATGCGTCTATTAAGACAGCAAAATTAGCATTGTGATAAATGATATTCAACCTAATGTGGCATCCATTTACAACTGTCTCTGGACCTTCTGAATACCACCTGTCCCCATCATAAATGTGACGTTTGCATGCAAATTTGCATTAAAATATATGTTTTTATGTATTTTTGGATTTGTAAAAATTATTTCATGTATATATCCCCCTATGTATTTCCTTTTTTGTTGTTTTATGCCATTTATGTGGTTGTAATTACACTTTAATAAAGTTTTTTTTCTTCCACATTTGATATTGTTTTGTTTTTAATACCACTCCAGTCCATTTCATCATATTTATGCATTTATATCATTTGTTAAAGCTTAGGCTTTAATCAATAATTATATTAAGAATTATTATTTATTGCTCCTATAGATACAGTCATCTGCCACACCCTATAAACAATAGTATTTATTTTATTTTATGTTATTTGTGCTGTTACAGGATCAAATGAATGCCTCATAAATACTTCAAATTAGTTTTCTCATGAATTTATTATATTACAAGGATAATCCTGTTGAAAACACAAATGGGCCTTTAAATTGTAACTGATTTTCACTGCAGCAGTGAATGCTTAACAATTGCCTTTACTGAACAAAGAGTCCAAAAATAGTTCTTCTTACTGTAGTCTCCATACGGCCCTGCTTACACCAGGACAGATGTGCAAAACCGTGGGTCTGTGGTGTGTAATTATTTTGTAGCAGGACAAAATGGCTGATAAGAGTGACCTAAAAGCCGAACTCGAGCGCAAGAAACAGCGCCTTGCTCAAATCAGAGAGGAAAAAAAGAGAAAGGAGGAAGAAAAAAAGAAGAAAGAGGTAAGATGACATTTTAATGAGACTCATTCAGAATGTGAGAACGTAACATGAATATCTGCGTACTGTATGTGTGCATTTGTAAACGTGAGCAGTCAGAGACTCAACAGAAAGCGGAGGCTGTTCCTGAGGACTCAGACTTGGACCGCAAGCGCAGGGAGACGGAGGCCCTCCTCCAGAGCATTGGAATCTCACCCGAACCTCCATTAGGTACAGTACACAGACCACTGGACCGCACTGAAATATACATCTCACTCAACAATGCCTGGCATCAGAACGTTGCCTTTTTACCTTTGCCAAGATCAGGCTGTGTTATATTCTGGGTTGGCTTCATGGCTTTGAATGGGACTACATCCAAATCCCTTATTCTGTGGGCTTTTCCCTTATTAATTTGAGCCCTTTTTACCACACTGTAGTCTACTGTACTCTAGGCTTTAACAAAGACACTTCCTAATGCAAACATGAGGAAACTAAAACCCAAATTAAACTCACCCCTGTGTTTATTTTGTGAGTGGTTGTAATCCCTTTCTCTGCTACTATCGCCATCTAGTGCAGAGCCTTGTACATTTCAAACATGGGATCCATACTCACATTGTCTTTTTAAATAAATAGTTCAGTAAAGGAATATTTAATAGCATTTTTGTCTCTATATAGTGCCGAACCCAATGTCTCCATCAAAGTCTATGAGCACCCCCAGCGAGACGGGCAGCCAGGACTCTGTGGATGGAGCGGCAGCTGGCAGGTATTTCACCATTATAAATATATAAAGACGATTTATCTAGACATAACTTTTTTTTTTACAGTATTTGAGAAACAAACTAAATTTCTCCTGTAACAATTTCTTTTTTAGTAACAATTTGTTTTAATTTATTTTTTATATTAATTTTATTTTTTAATTATTGATATACACTACTGTTCAAAAGTTTGGGTTTGGTAAATTTTGTTATTGTTTTTTAAAGAAGTCACCAAGTGACCAAATGCTCACCAAGGCTGCTTTTATTTAATACAAAATACAGTAAAAACACTATTATTGTGAAATAGTATTACAATTGTTTTAATATATTTTCAAATATAATTTATTCCTGTGATCATTCAATCATTCTATTATGCTGATTTGCTGCTCAAGAAACATTTCTTATTACTATCTAAGTTGAGTAATATTTTTTCAGGATTCTTTGATGGAAATAAAGTTAAAAGGAACAGCTTTTATTAGAAATTTTACATGTATGTAACAATGTAAAAGTCTTTACTGTCATTTAAAAAAAAATCTATTTAATGTGTCCTTGCTGAATAAAAGTATTAATTTCTTTAAAAAACCTTACTGACCCCAAAATTTTGAGCGAGTGTTCATTTAAAACCTATATATATACTATATATATATATGTAGAGAGAGAGAGAGAGAGAAAGAGTAAAATTTGTATTCTATATATTTGTTTATATATTTAATAATAATTGTATTGGATTAGAAGACTAGAAGCAATTTTTACGCAGTTATGATGTAACACAAGTGTGACTGATAGTCATGTTTCTCTGTCTTTTTATATGGGATCAACAGATATAGGTAAGAATCACTGTCTGTGGTTCCTGTAGTGTGTTTCTTAGTGCTCATTTCTGATTTTCCACTTCACCTGTCAGCCTGTCTCAAGGATAAGGTATAAAACCTAATATCACTGGTACTGAATGAAGACTTTATGAGACTGCCTGATCAATTTAATAGGCATCTAGAAATGATAATCAACCAGAGAACTGCCTGTAAGAGAAATATTTGTAAGATAAGATGATCGATTTTGACCATAAAACATCACAAATAACAGCCAAGAGTGTATCAGTGTCGGTAGCAGTGAGGGTTGTTAACAGGCTCATTTTCTTTCTCTGAAATGTAGACAGATAGCTGCAGTCATGTGGAAAGGGAAAGGTTGATTCTGGCTTGTAATTAAGCCTGTAATGCAGACGTTTGACACATGATGTGTGCGTTTGTCCCTGTCATCGCTCCCTGCAGGGGGCTCGGCTAACAGTCACTGGACTGAAGTGAAATTTACAAGACTTCATTTTCAGATATAGGCCTACAGGACCATTGCCTCGTGATAGCATGATAGTCACATAGGTTTTTGTGAGTTGTTTTTGCTCCGAGGTCAGGACTGTGTGTTGTAACGGTGTCCCGCTCTAGGTCGGGTCACTCAAAGAACGATAACTATTAAGTATATTAGCTTCCACTCCAGCGGACTATATTTTTGTTCTGTTTATTCGAATCACGCGCTCTTTTAGGGCCCTTACATAGTCAACGCATCGGTAGGCATAAGCGTGCGCAAGGCTACACATCGCTACGCTTCGGCCGCCATTATGCGTCGATGCGTATCCTAGTTTTTGATACGCGACGCACCGATGCACGCAATACTATGCGTTGTCGGTGGGGGCGACATTGCAAGTAATGTACATAAAAAGGTATATTATTATGTTTACAGAATAAGAAGATTTGAATACAATGGCGGGCAAAGAGGAAAAGTTATGCGAGCTTGTTCGTATACATCTGCATATATTCGACAGTTCGTCACAATTACATTCCAATAAATTTGCTTTGGAAAATGCCTGGAGAGAGGTTGCGACCGCGATGGTAAAGACCGTGGAGAAGGTGAAAATGGACTGGAAAAGTGCCCGTGATAAATTTACCAGGGCGCACAAAAAGTGGAAGGTGGCGTGCAGAAGTGGTGCGGGGCAGCTAAGTTTCGGCTACCCAAAAATATTGACTCAACTTAGCTGGTTGAGTGTATTCAATATGCAATATGCACTCCTCTTCAGTTGCCATTTTGATCTGAATATCACGTGACCCGACTCTAGACTCTACTACCCCCTGTTGCGTGATCGGTGTATTGCATTTCAGGCATCGCCCGTGACGCTTGCGTACTATGAAAAGGAAGGAGCGTGTAGCTCGCGTTGACTATGTAACGGCCCTTATTCCTCTGACGCTTTTAATACTCGAGCTCTTAAGGTAGAATTCTGATTGGCTGTCCGCTAGAGCTGCAAGATTAATCATAAAAAGACCGCTATCTCATTCAAACACTCACGCGATCTTATTCCTAAATAACAACGGTTCGTCATGTCTAATAATAATAACCTTTGACAAGTACGATCACAGCAAACGTGGAAATCTGCTTGGCGCGTAACGTTACTGCTGAGCCAGAGAGCCGATGTCATAGACGAAAGCTTCACAAACAGTCTTTCAAACCACACAGTATCAGTAGGCTATCACAGTACTGGGATAAAAGTTTATAATTCGGATATAAACACTACGATAGCGTTTAAAATAGAGTAAATCACATTTTGAAAGTAACTTGACGCTTCAAATAAAGATTGTATCAATTGCATCGTTACACCAGTAGGTGGCGACAAGTGACTTATATCTGTATATTGTATATTGCTGAATTCTGAACCGCATACTAGTATACTACTCTCTTTTTACATATACCACAATTTTCTATGACAGAAGAAGGCAAGGTTAACTAAAAACGCCTGCTAACGCTGACCAGAGGGCGTAAAAAAAAAAAAAAAGGATGTCAACGGAGGAGAGGCTTCACTGCGCTGAATAAACTTACGCTTTTGTAGGAAAATGGTTGATCATTTAATGAATTGACAGCCTTTCGGTTAATCTTTAACATGTTTGCTCTTAAACATTCATTTTGGATTTATCTCATTTTAGAGTTTACACCATAAAAAATACTGTTTTATAAGAGAAGTCACAGACAATTGCTCAACAGGTATGATTCAGTTTACGGCACTTCTCATTCATTTCTTTGGTATCCACAAATTCAATTTCAAACAGTAAAATTCCTCCTGTAATGATGGTCTTTATGAGTGAGTCATTGAATCGTTCAAACATGTCATGTATGGCATGTCATGACCTTTCGTTCATCTTCGGAACACAAAAGATCTTTTTGATGAAATCTGAGAACTTTCTTTCCCTATTGAAAGCTACGCAACTACCACTTTAAGACTAAATTAAATCTGTTCATCATATAAAGCAATTGAGTCTATTCAGAAAACTTGGACTTTTTTTGGGTGAACTATCCCTTTAAGTGTCTCCATCTACAACTCTTATCCTCCAACAGAGGGATTATAAGAACAAAAAGGTACACACACAATGAAAGGTATGCATCCAAATATAAAACCATAACCCAGAATCTCATGAACAACTTTGAAGGGGTTGTGTTCGCTCCGCTATTAAAGTCAGCGCACTGTATTTCACTGGCAGTTGAAAAAAAGCAGAGCAGTTTAGGTCGTTCCCCCCGGTGTGACTGCCTGATGCCTGCTGTCACTTTGAGCCTCGACTTCAACAATTCCTCTTGCATGGTTAAATTGGAGCCATTTGCAATGATGTGAATGACAATATGGTTTTTTAAATGTCATCACTGGTAAAACAGAGTGTCAATTTGACACGCTACCTCTCTGACTGTGTAAGTTTAGTGGGGAAAAAATTAATAGGCATGTTTGTGACTTGTACTGAAGGTTGAGGAAAAAAGTTTACAAGGTCAACACCCTTTCATTAATTGTTCCTAGGATATAATATTCAGCTTTGCATACAGGTTTTGTGGGTGCTGTTTTTATAGAATATATAGGCTCACAAATACAGAATATATTCTGGCCACCAACCAAAACATGTTATGTATGAAATGTTTCGTTTATGTACGTCTGTCTTAATGTACAGTATATCTCACTCTGTGAAACATATACTGTTTTCTTGTTTGTTTATCTTTCTAGTCAACTTAATGTTGAGCTTATGAACTTAGCCTTTACAAAAAAGTACTGTCTGTGGCATTACTATGGCATACTAATAATATCAGATGATACTTTGAATTAGGCACTAAGCAATAGATTCTATTCACTCTAAGTGAAGAAAGCTATAGATTCTACTGTATTTACACCGTAAAAATAGCAGTATTTTCTTTGCAAAAAGTGTAAATAGTAGATGCATTAATATATCGTAGCCTAAGAAAGACTTAGTGACTGTTATCATATTCTCCAATAATTTAACATCACTTTAATCTTCTGCCGTATCATACATGCCAGTTCTACCATCTATCCTTTGGAAAGTGCATAAACATGAGTATCTATGTACATGACGCTTAAACCTCCTTAGCATTGCTTTGAACTGCATCCCTGTGTTGATTTGATTGGTCCTTTCTCACTGCTCTCCTGGCTTGCATGCGGCGTGTTGTTTGATGGCGTGTGCTATGATATTTATGTTTGTGTGTATGATGGTGTTGTTTCTGCTGAGGTTAATCTTGCATGTTTTCTCCCTCCTGTCCCCTGCGTGACACCCCCTGCCGCCCCCTCCAGGACCTTGCAGTGGGACACTGACCCCTCTGTTCTTCAACTGCAGGCTGACTCTGAGCTCGGGTATCTCCTCCTCTCTGTCTCTTTCTTTCTCTTTTTTTATGCAAATCTGCTGACATTTTTCAAGTACAAACATTTTTCAACACGCAGATGTGTACATGCATGTCTTTGGACACCTACAGTATTTGCTTTTTCACATTTAGTGCAGGAAAATGTGAATGAATTCTTGAATTGGAATGGGTTAACAATGCAAAATTGCAATTCAAATTTGAAAAAGAAAGTGGAATTAAAATGCAAAATGCAAAGAATATAACTTAGAATTCAAATTTAAATGCAAAGAAATATGAATACTTTATATAAATACTTTTTTACAGCAAATGTCAAGATAAAATTGGCTTGACAAAGTCTTGTTTGAAAGTTTAGATGGATGGATGGATGCATAGATACATAGATAGATATTGTGAAATATTATTACAATATTAATTATTACAGTTTAAAATGAATAGCAAGTTCAAAAGAACAGCATTTGTTTTGAAATAGAAGTCTTTTGTAAATTATAAATGTGTCTTTAATGACACTTTTTGATCAATTTAATGCAATGTAATGTTTTTAATAAGTTGTATTGCCCCCGAACCTTTGAACAGTAGTGTATATATTTCATCATATTCAGTAAATTAAGTTTTGCAAGTGTTAAGACATTCAGTGAGTCAGCTCTATAGAATATTTGATTCTGATTGGTCAATCAGTTGCTTTGAGTATAGGAAAATATTTTTGTTTAATGACTTTCATGCAAATCAACGCATGTTAGAATAGCTAATAGGCATCATCTTATTATAGATATAGACTGAAATAAAAATGACCTGAGAGGAAAGTATTATTATTTTTATACGGTATATTGTGAGCATAAAACTTTTGAAACATGGTTAAAGGCTCAGAAGTTACCAGTTAAAAAGCAAGGAAATTATAAAGATTGATATAAAGAACTGCATGTTGATTAATAATATATGAATTAATATTATAATATTACAGAGTTAAGGCCCATCCACACCAAGAAGGATAACTATAAAGATAACTACATTAGAGTCCACACCAGCGGACAATACCTTTCCGTTTATTTTAAGTGTGCGTTACCGCTTTAAATGCTTGAGCTCTTTAAAGCAGGATGGATTCTGATTGGCTGTCAGTGCTATTCTTTTGTATATAGAAAGATTTTTAGAACGATATCTTTATCGTAATAGTTATCGTTCTTGCTGTGAACGGGCCTTTTTTAGACTGATTGTGTTCTAGTACCCTTCTAATTTTTATTTCTCATTTGTTTGTACATTGATAATCTACATTTACATATCTCTGTGTGTGTGTGTGTGTGTGTGGTATTTCACTGCCTTTGTACTGTAGCGTACCATTGTGTATGCAACTTTTTCTTTGTTCCTCTTGTTCTCCGTCATTCTCTTCATTTCTCCTTCTGGCTCGCTCCCTCTATCTCATTCCGCTTTTCTTTTATGTTTGTCAGGTTCAAGTGTTTTCAGCTGGTCACTCTCCAGCTGTGTGCCCAGGGCTGTATGTGACAGTGATTGATGCACCATGCCATGTACTGAGAATGCTTTAAACATTAGTTCTAGCAGTCAACCGAGGGTCATCCAAACTTACAATCTGTTCATAGACCTGTATAATTAGCCCTACTGCATATTGGGTGTAACATTGTATTTTGTCTTTGTGATGCACTGTATGTATTTTAAACATGCATGCTAGTGTGTGCACACGTGTGTCAGGTTGCAGGACATTCATAGGCCGTTTTCTTTCTCCCCAGACGCCGAACGCACAGATTGGGACCTTCTAAGATAACTCAGGTGGATTTCCTGCCCAGAGAGCTGGTTTCCTACTGTAAAGAGACTCAGACACCGCTAGCAGCTCATCAATCTGAAGGTAGATAGTTACAGGAATATTCTATACGTTCTGCACTCTACAGTGTTGGGGATGCTTCTTTAAAACTCTACTGTAGCTTGTGAAGCTGCTAGTCATAATCTGTTAAAAGTGGTTAAACTACATTCAAATGGAAGTACCAACAAAAATGGCTAATTACAAACTATTTAAGAGGGCAATGTCTCATTAATATATGGATGTGAGATAATATAAGATGAGTATTGTGAAGGTCTCATTTAGGGTGACAGCATTGACAACTACATATACATTAGTGGTCAAAAGTGATGTCTGGAGAGGATTTTTGTGTTTAATGACCCTACAAGTGACCCTACAAGTAAAATATTTATTTATTTTTTAAATATTTTAAATATGAGGGAAGAACAAAACGCTAAACTTGGTTAAGGTCTGATTGAGGTTAATTAATCTGACAAAATTATTTGGCAAAAAAGGCAAACTACAGCTACAGGTTTTATTTTATTTAGCAAAAAAAATAATAATGCAAAGAAAAACAAAAAGCTCACAGGAAAAAACATACATTGACTACAACATAATCAGTTATTAATATTTTGTTGGTTCTCTCTTGTTTATGCACGTGTTCATAATTTCTTTGTATGGCAGCCTGGCGAAAAAAATAAGCACGATTTGGCTTATTTCATTGCATTATCACAAATAAAACAACTGACTCCAAGAACATCTACACAATATACTTAAAAAAGAGTGAAGATTTTCCTAGAACGGACATCACTTTTGCCCACTACTTGTAGTGGAAGTGTTGATTAATTCCAGTAACACAAATCTTTTGATTCCTTAAACTAAAACATTAATTTTTGTTTAATAATTTACAATTCAATTCAATTCAAAAGTGATTTGTATAACCGAGTCGAACACTTAATGATGAACAGCAGCATTTAACTAAAGATTTCACTACTAAAATAGTCTGTTGTATGCATTAACTTAAATGAATATGTGAATAATTTTTGAATGAGTTCATTTACATGCACCTTCTGATGAACTGATTCACTGAAGTGAATCTTTTTAGGAGTGCCCATGTGATTCAGATTCATTCAGCTGTGAAGCTGCGTGTATAATATAATGTGACACACTTTAAAAACATCACACTGCACCGCTACTTATTTTAAAGCTATATTATTTTGAAAGGAGCTGAGCTATTGTCACACTAATGAAAAATGTAGTTAGCAGCAGCAGCGTTGCTTTTAGTTAATTATTCCCCAACTCTGAGCTCTAACCACATGAATTGTGGGAGAATTTTTTTTTCTATAATCAGCAATCAATCAAAAAAAAAAAAAAAATCCTGTTGTTTTATAAGCACCATTTTAGAGGTGGAACTATAATTGCTCGTTGTGTGAAGTGATATTTATGTAGCGCAAAATCAGACATTTAATTACAAATGTACACGTACTCACCTTGTCAGTCACAGTTAAGATCTACAATAACTTACTTATGTAGTTTTATCTGTACTCAATCAAAATAGGCAATTTGGGATTTCATGGTAAAACAGCTTAGGACAAGCTCGGAAATTGAAACGGGCTGCTCAGTGAAGAGCTTTGATTTTCATGGCTGTCAGGTGGGCTGTCATCCTGACCGTCTGGTTCCGTTGAAGAGCTCCAAACCTGCGCAGATTAAGATTCATTTGACCAGCCGCGGCCTCCGTTTCCTGAGAGGGGAGCTGGGGGGACGGCTTTTTTGAAAAGAGATGCCTGCCCATCAGTGGCTCTGCTTGAAATGGCAGAACAGTAATGGCATTGAGTCAGGCTTTAAGTGGATGCAGACGGGTAATTCAAGATGGCTTCTATCATCAGAGCATCACTTGGAGTTGTGCCTGCGCCTCTGCCGAGGGCTACCAGTTTACTTTGGGCTTTCTGTTGAGATTGTTGGGTCCGCTATCTGTTCATGTGCATGACATTTCAAAAGATTGGATGTTATAGATGAATCCTTTGTAGAATCTATCTATATTTGAATAGTAATACACTTCCTTAAAGGCGCAGTTCACCAAAAAAAAAAATCTATCATCATACAGTATATCATTGCATATTCACCCTCATGTTGTTCATAACATGTATGATTGGAACATAAATTAGATATTTTGAACAATGTCGGTAACCAAACAGGTTTGGTGATCGTTGACTTCCGTTTGTATGGGGAAAGAGAGAGAGAAAACACTGAAACATTTCTTAAAATATCCTTTTTTGACAGCATTTAAATTTTCAAATGAACTATTCCTTTAAAGTCAGGACCTAATAATAAGATATATTTATTTTTGTGCTGGCTTGGGCTGGACAGTAGTTCGCTGCCAACATTTTTACCACATAAATAATGATTTTATTTTTTGCATATATGTTTTTGAACGTTTATATTATTATTGTTATTGTTTTGTATAATTTTTTTTAAAGAAAAGAAAAAGAAAATTTACAACAAATAATTTTTTAGATTTGCAGTAGTAACTTTTTTTGAAAGTATTATAAATTATATATATAATTTTATCATTGATATTTTATTTAACGTTTTTTTTTTTTTTGCAAAAAAAAAACATTTAGGGGAAAAACATAAGTTATAAAATTTTTCATTTGCAGCAGTAACTTGAAATTAATTAATTAATGTTATTTAGAACCATGGATATATTATTTAGAACAGCAATATTCAAAACAACACTGAAAATGATGTTTAAGCTTGCATGGCACAAAAACATAATAACAATAAGTAAAACTTTTAAATGGTTAAATAATAACCTCATGTAGCACGAGACCGTATTAATAAAACTCCTCGAGTTGATTGATTTATGAAATGTGAAAGTGCTTAATCAAAGCCACTTTTGCTTGTTTGTAAAAGAATAATGTCAGGATATTTCTCCTTATTAGTTTAAGTGTGGTTCCTACCACAAAGACTTCTTGGCTTCTACAGTCGCTAACTCGACACAGCACTCAGCGCTGAGCCGCCCTCTTCCACAAGTGTACTCTAATGTACTCCATTGGCTTCAATCATATATCTGAAACCAATCATATTTAAAGCATCATATTTCAATTACATTTTCTGAATTTATAGCCTTGTTAAAATGAAGCTCACATAGAGCTCGGCTAATTTGATTGCATCCCCCAGACTCGGGAGCCAGGCCTGGTATAAAATGCAGATGGTTTGAAAAGCACCCTAAACATCTCCATATGGACGGAACCCCTTAACAAGCGGCTTTTGGTGTATTTGCATAACATCGCTGGTAGTCGTGATGTGAAGCACATCTTTTGCTCTTTGGTTTCCTCTTTTTTTTGCAAGCGGTGCACAAAAAAAACGAGACACACAGGCTTTACCTCGCTTCTCTCATTCCCCTCAAACTCATCTTCTTTTTCCCCATCTGCATTTCGCACCAGAATCCCTCCATCCTCTCACGGCTCCTTGATCCCTACGTTGGCAACAGCTGCTTGCCATGTGATTGGAGACTTCCTGTCATTATAACTGATGTGTTTTTATTCTTTCCACTTCCTTGAAGCCTGATCAGAATTAAAATTGCTGGTGGAATTTCCTGTCAAGGCAGGTCATTTATTCAGCAAGTGCAACCGCTGACAAGCCTTTGATTGGCCGTTGCCCTTAGCGCTCGCACTCTGTACAGTTTATTTGTTTTTTCCTCTCGGCCTACAGATGCAGGCTGGGCTCACAGCTGTCTGTAGGTACAGGTTGTGTGTGCAGGGGAGACCCTGGCCCTGTGAGACCTCTCACATGAGAAAGAGAGAGGAAGGTTTAATAGGTCTCTCCACCACCTGCTACAGCTTGCGTTCTGTGTTTGTTCAGGCCGGTGTTGAGGTTTCGTCCATTGATTGGTGAAACTAAGCAGATGCCTTTTTTCCTTTTCTTTCTTTTTTTTTTTCCTCTCTGACCCTCTCTCTTAGTTGGGGGGATCCAAGAACTTCAGGTGTTAACCCCCCACCCCCGAGACTGCACTATAACACTGTCAGGAAGGCCAGCAGTGCCTGCGGAGACCCTTGTACCGGCAGCAGCCAGCATGTAGTTTAAGCTCAAATTAACCAGAGCAGTGTAATTAGGCCCTCTACTTACTATAGTAAAAGATGCGCATGGTTAAATGTCTCCTAAAGGCATTATTTCACTGTTTCTATCGTATAAAGCAGTTGTCGGTTTCATTTGTGTGTGATACTTTAAAACTTCAAATTGAGAAAGTATTGCTTCGCAAAGACCTTTAATGCCTTCATTTGTTAGACTAACTAAACTTTAATACCTGTATTGAGCATTCTTTTCCATTCTTACACTATCGTTTAAAGTCCCACTCCGATCATATTTTGAGCTATTTTTAAACATTCCCAGTGGTCTTTAAATTATGATTATGCCATTTTTAGCCAAAATCACAAAACCTGTGCCGTTTTCTGGGACTTCGCTTCAGCAGAGCGGCAGTAGCTCATTAGCAATTCGCCTCTGCGTTGTGGGCGGAGCCGTTGGCACGGAGACAACCCTCCCCCTGCCCGTTGCTGAGAGCTCTGTCTCTCCCGCTAGCTTACACCCCCAATACCGGTGGGGCAACAGTATTATATACACGTTAATTATTATTATCCGAAGTTAATCAAAGTTAGTTACGAGTTACTACGTCACAACTCCAGTCTATTTTAGCCGGCATTTTAGCGTCTGCTACTGATTCAAAGCCATTTGAATGTAGAAATACTCAGAAATACAACTTTGAGCTTATTTTTCTCAAGATATGTCCTCTAACATCAGAAAAATGCCACAAGAACATGTTAACACCTAGAAAAACATTATTTTCATCGGAGTGGGTCTTTAAAAGTTTGGGGGTTAGTACGATTAGTACGAAGTCACTCGTGCGAACAAAATCTGCATTATTTTGATCAAAAATTCTCTATTTTAACATGTAATTTGTTCTTGTATTGGGAAAGCTGAATTTCCAGCATCATTACTATGATCAGAAATCATAATATTTGAAACATTTCTTATTATTATCAATGTTGAAAACAGTGTGCCGCTTAATAATT